ATCAAGCTGCCTTGTACAAACTGGTGCAGGAGAGGTCTCATTCACCGCAAAAGGCAATAAACTTAAAGCACAGTAGCTTGTTAAACATGTTGCGTACAGCGAATGTATGGGGCCGAAAATCAAATAAAATTGGTCGGTCATAGCAATTTACAGTAGAATGAAGTCTTGCTCATATCCTTGCTTCACTATTCCTAATCAGTTGGCTGTTAGAGTAACAGAAAAACATTATGATGTTTCTATTTATCTCATTCTATGAAAAGGTGGATAGAAACCAATACCGAATATTAAACAGGGTCTGGGTCAACACAGCAAAGACGGCGGGTTTAGAGCCTTTATTTATCGCTCAGATCAAACATTTCGGTTTCGCTATTTGGTAGCTCTTATTTAAAGAAAGTTCGGGAAAATGGTATTGGTGGTAGTTCCATCCTTGGTACTACTTTACCTAACCTTTCTAGCCTAACCCTGTAACGTAGCTAATCTTGAAGTTCATATAGACTACACGTTATCCTGCCCAAAATTGGTTTAGAAATGGGTTGACTAAGTGCAAAACTTGGACCCAATTCTAATAAGGAACGCACATTTTCCGGAAGCGTTATACCTCCTAGCACACTAACCCTGGATATTTTTGGTGCGTAGTCTATTTTAGGGTTTTTACTTGCAACTTAACCAGTGGTGGCCCTATGATTTAAGCTTTTTGAGCGGCGTGATAGATCCTCAAACTTTCTTCTTCTTTTTCGATCACGGACCCTTACTCTACTGTCGATACATAGACGACTGCTTCATCGTCTGTTCCACACAATAACAGATGGATGAGAGCTTTGAATTATTAAACCGACAGTCAGAGTATATAAAATTTACACGAGAAAAACCTACCGAGAACTGGCTTCCATTCTTAAACATCCAAATAAAGTTCTCAGTAAGTGGCTATGTTACAAAATGGTATCGCAAGCCAAGTAGTAAAAACATTCTAGTTCACTGCCTCTCCTCTCATCCTTCACACATGAAGAAAGCACTTATCAAAAACATGTATCGTACGGCTAATAATGTGTGTATAGGAGAAGAGGAAAGGAAGGAATCGCGAAGCCTAGCACGAAAAATTGCTATTTCCAATGGCTACGAAGCAGAAGCCACTCGGGTTAGAGAAAAACGTTGGGTAGTTTCCCAAAATAATATTTCAGACGAAAGTAGGATCCCCTTTAAACTGCCCTTCACATCACATGAAGTAAGTCACGCCACTAAAAAGTGCTTAAGAAAAAGCGGTCTTGAAAATTATGTAACGATTATTGACATCCCACCCAATACCCTACGCAGCCAGTTAGTTCGAAACCGTCTCTATGATTGTTTGTGCAGCTCAGAAAACTGTATGATCTGTCCTAACGGGAGAGACGGGGATTGCATGAGTTTAGGAATAATATACTTGATCTCATGTAATGCATGCGGCGAGGAATACATCGGGGAAACGGGTAGACCACTTTGTGTCCGCATAAAAGAACATCTAGATGGAAAAGCTAAAATCCGTTTAAACACCCCTCTAAGTACGCATAGGGCACAAAAGCACAACGGCGATGATTTTGAAGTGAATTTGCGGATCCTAGCGCAGGAATCGAAAACATCAAAGCGCAAAACTCTTGAGGCGTTTTGGATAAATTTCAAAAATCCAAAGATGAACCGGAAGGACGAATGCCTCACTATCACGCGTGACCTGGCGCCCTATTTCAAAATGATATTTTGACCCTGGGGTGTGTCTTGCCCGCGACCCCACGTGAACTACGTGTGGGCCTGTGCCACACGTAACATCGTGGTGAGTGGCCTTTCTGTTCATGCGGTGTCTATTTGAAAGTTTGATCTTCATTAATACTTTAACCTTTTTCCACCGAATAATAAAAATATTCTAATATGAAATACGTCTAGGCTCTGAGGAAGGCGAAGTCGCCGAAACGTCAGCCATCGACCAACAACATCAAAAACGACAACGACAACGAAGTTCTGTACCAACGTTGCATCAGCTTAAGAAGATCAGTTTATAAGATTATATAAATAAATATAACAACTATCTATGCCGAGGTTTATAGAAAGTCGGTCTTTCGAGTTATTCTAACACTGATTTCGTAGCCGCCGCTCTCTTTCCCATGGTCCGAGTTGTCGTTCTCATAAATACCTGTCGTCACCTCACAGAGTGAAACACATGCTTACCGATTACTAAAAAGGGCGCCATTTCTGCAAGAACAGCTCAGCCATTTTTCTTAACTTCTGAGGCCTCATCCTTTGTCTTGTTCTCTTTATAACTTCAACGGGTGTCATTGGATGACGTGAAGAAATTAAAAGTGTATGTGAAAGGAAAGGAGACGACATGTTGGCCAGATAACGTTCTGTAACAAGCAGATCCTCTCCACATATTACTTATAGATGAATGAATACCTAACAGAAGACTAAAAGCTGCTTGTCGAAGGACTTAAAACTTGTGCAGAATTCACCTCAGTTCCGTTAACAAGAGTTAAGACCGCATCACCATCAGCACTAAGTACCTGCTCGATAGAAGAACGAAACTGAAGTTTGATTCTATTGCAACATCCTAACATTAAGTGAACAGGAACAATACATACCAGCTATAAAAGATCTCTGCTGGTGGATTTAGATCGGTAGACGTAGAGAAAGTTACTGGAAGCAGCTCAAAGACGACAAAGTTTGAAGTGCCGTCGGTAACTCGGCGATCATCGAAGTATGATAAGAAGTTGATAATGGTAAACACCAATCTTTCCCACTCAATAATCCCCATCTGCGGACACCGAAATCCTCGTTGAAGAAAAACCACTTGAGATTCTACCCTTTAGAGTTCGAGTTGCAATAGAAGGCGTGAAGCGAGGCACAGCTCCAACACTCGATAATATTACCGCCCATTCCTTTGAACCTCGAGGCTACAAATTACATGTACTTCTCACAACCCACATGCCATCTCATCTTCAGGAGAAAGAGAACGTCGCGCTCGATCAATCTGCCCAAGAAAAATGACAAAAGGGTCACTGTAACTACCGTCCAATATGCTTATTGAGTGTACTCTATAAGCTGTTACCAAAGATTGTCCTTCCGCATTTTAGATACCTTGGATGAAGCTCAACCAGTTGAGCAAGCAGAATTCTGAAAGGGATTCTGCTGCATGAATCAAATCCATGCAACGTCACTGGTCTGTGATGAGTACGATCCTTATCCAAATTTTATCGACAATAAAGTGTTTGATGGCATCGAAAATAGTAGAATACTATTAGCGCTCGCTGACAAATGAGTGGACACATTCCTTATACGAGCACTAGCAGACTGTTATTGGAAATGCAGCACAAATACGTTTTTCATCGATTGCTCACCATAACTAGGAAGAAGACATAATTCATGAAAGATCCCTAGTGCGATGGCGAACATATTAAACCTGACGGTTCTTTACCTATAGAGACCACCTCGTACATAGGAGTTCGGCGTTCAATGAGCATGGAGAGCAACACGAAGGAAGAATTCGACAGAACATGAAGGCCATTCGTATCTCTTAAAGAGGCCATAGACCAACCAACGGAACCAAAACTCTACGCTCACCTTCCCAGTCCTCTTAGCGCTTTACTATGCAGCAGAAACACTGGCTGATATTTCAACCACCTTAAGAAATCTGTGCACCACTACAGACCGTTTTACCGATGTTTTCCGAAATTTAACCGACACTCACAACGTTTAGCCAGAAAGCCCAGTTCTGATGCTCGGAAGAAAAGGAGAATATATATCGACAGCGAAACACAGATGGCTCGCTCATATAATAAGAAGAAAAAGCAAATAGACGAAAAGAACAGCGGAGAAACCAAAGACAATGCAAGTGTTCCCTCAGACGGTTACCCAAACGATGAACAGGGATATTTGTGCCTTACGCTAACAGTCTGCACACCCATATCGAAAAAATTTCCAGGTCTTGCAATGTGGCTCGCAGACATCATTATATTCGAAGCAGACCACTACCATAGACGACGACTGTACGAAAAGAAGAAGAATGGTAAATCCACTAGGATCCGCAATCGTAGTGAAGATAGGCTTTCAGGGTATCCTAGTAAAGATCGCCTTGCATGCAACACTTCACTATACATTTTACTAGACCAATTCAATGTCGGTGGTTGCTGATCACCTGTATAACCTGTGATCCCGTTGATAGTCTGGTGACTCAAGAGGATGCCAATGAATCTTCTATTTCTCTTTTATTCCCTTTTATTTCCTTCCCTATTTCTTCTTCTAAATGTCTGCTTCCTAAATAGGATAATCTTGTTTGCAAGCTCCTCATGGCAGATAAAAACGAGGAGCATGACCCACGCACGGTGAAGTCGTAAATAACTGAAGATGGACACTGGTAGTAAGGAGCGACTCTCTGTATACTTTAAACAATAAACGAGAAATTCAAAAGAATGAAGTGAATAATGACTGCGGAACACAAGCGAACCAAGTTAAGGAACTCGGTGTATTCTAATTCCCAACTTCATGTAGCACAAACAAACAAAACACATAGAAAAATAAAAAGGGATAAAGCTCTCGGCGTTGATCAATCCCGTAGGAATGCACTATGCATTCGAGTTCATTAAGCATCGTTTGGAAGTGATTGAATGCATATCTGGTCTTTAGAATGACTCCCGGTGGCCTAGCGATGTATCGAGCCAGTGTTGCTATCCTCCCAGATAAGTCTGGTACTGATTTGCCGACCCCGGAGGAATAGACGGCTTGGTAAGCCAGGGGCGCGGGAATCGATCCCTTGTGTATTGCAGGGCGCCTCCGACTACTGCTCCACACGAGCCCTTTAACAAAACATATACAAAGCCGAATGTGGAAGCATCAGCGAAACTCTCTTCAAAATAGACACTTTACAAATTTCCTATGTCTCATCTGTTACGAGACATACCCGTGAACTTTTATGTCAGTATTCTCATTAACTAAGTAGCGATGAACAGTGTACAAAGACTATATACTTAAGTATATTGACTTCATCCTCTCATCCAGTGATCAATAAGGGTGGAAAAAGCAGCAAATCCAGCTGCACCCCACATTGCCGGCTTGATACCTGCTCGGAGACCCAGAATTCCACCCACAATTGCTGAAATACAAGTACTTTCTGCTATTATATATTAATCTAAGAGCGAATACACCACTAAATGCCGTGTGAACTGGACTTACCACCGGAATATGTTCCGTTCCGCCAGTCGCTTTTTGCTCGTATGGTTTCCAAAATGCATTCAGTACCTGATTAAGATAAAATGCAGAGCGACAACAGTACCAACTTCTAAGAAGACAGCAAAACTGATACCTGAAAACATGAAACCAATGGATCCGAAATTCTTTCCATACGACTTCATTCTTCCACTCATTTCTTTCCATGTTTCTCTAAGTGTAAGCTGAAAATTAAAATCCTATAGAATGACAGAAGATATTACAACTTCAAATGTTCTCAAAGAGCGTATTTTGACAAGCTAACAAGTTTTATTATTACCTGCTTTGTTGGGTCGCCTCCCACCATACTTAGTGAAGGATCTACAGAAGCGGTGAACAAACCAAAGGCCACACCTAGATAATAAAACAAACATAATTTCAAACAAGTAGAAAACAAGACCTGCACTTCAAAAGAAGATAGAAAGAAAGATGTAGACAGGTAAGATTATAACCGTACCTACTCCATAGCCCAGCACACCCGCGATGACTGATTTTACAGCACAATTTTCCATAGCACGAGAAATGAACAGCTCTTCACGAGACATAGTCGGCAGCGTTAACATCTAAATTCACGGACGAATATCAGGACTACTGACTGATGAGTGAATCTCTAGATTACGTACTCTAACAAATAAATTCTGGGCAACGCAAAAACAAGAGTAGAGTTACGAATCTTAAATATGCATTTATAATAAACACTTTTTCTTTTCTTTTCTTTTGCATGCAACTTTACAGCTTACCTGATGCTTAACTAATTGCTGCCCAATACTTCCTCTCACCTTTACAACACTCCTCAGTCTGACTTAAACTACACTTTCTATGCAACAAAAAATGTGCCACTTCGCCTCATTAGTTCAAATTGGGACATGTGAGACGAAAGCATCAAGGCATGGGCTGGGAAGCATTTCCACATTTCGAAACGCATACTGAACTGTTGCACTGAACAGTTTCGCATTAAAGAGATGTCTATGAAGAACCCTCCCAACGGTGTACCAGCTCATGGTGGCAGGAAGGGGCTCCTGGGTGTCGAGCTGCGATGTACGAGTGTATCCATCACCTGTACAGGTCAACCCGGGTTGAGAAGGAGTCCGGAGTTCACATCAGGAATCACAGCTAAGAGTAAACCAATACCAGCACTCATCACTGTCTTGGCATCAAACTAGTCGCACGTGGCAAATCTTGCTCTCATCCACGATGGCAGCAGCTGCCTGTGGTGGTGACGACCTGGAGCACACTTTGGTTAGAATGGCCTCGGGACGTCAGGCTACCACAATGGCTAAACAAGCAAAACCCTGAAAATAGACGTTGTGCTGGGGCCCGCACAAGCCGTGATGACGGGCCATTCATGGGACGGGTTGAGTATCAAACAAGGAAGTAAAGTAATGTGGTTTGTATTGGAAGCCTGGTACGAACACTTTTTGAAAAATGCAATACCTGTTTTGGTAGAACAGGAGTGCGTTCAGGATTCCATGGTCGAGTTCTCGAGCCAATCATTTGATCTATCACTTGCACGAACGCAGACGGCTTGTATTCGAACTTCTACATAGAACTGAATCTTATAAGTCTCTACTCATACAACTCGTATCAATATATTTCTGAAACTCAATATACGACACATCTGAAGATGTATAAGCAAAATAGAAATGGAGATAGTCCTAGGGAAATTTCCTGTCCCACATTCGGAAACTACGGCTCCGTGCTTTGAAGTGAACTGTACAGCTCCCCAACAAAGGGTGAAAAAGGTTCTTAACAATCAAAGGTCACATAAGGCAATTACTCAATTTTCACTTACCTGCTATGTAATGGATCCAGAACATTAACAATAACTAGTAATATTGAAGTCACAGTGTTTTAATTTCTTATTTTCTGCCTATTCTTTTTTAATGGTCAGATACTATGCGAAATACAATCATAAGGATGCTGAAATATGAACAAAACTCGGGACCTCAGGTGGGCTTCGAATCAGTGACTACCTTTGTCTGGACCTACGTGCTATCAGTCATTCCCGTTGATGGTTGATTGTTGATCGTAGCGATAGAGTAAAAACATGGTTGAGATAAAGGCAAAGCAAGGGTCTCGGTTGGTGTGGTGGATGTGAGCCACCGTAAGATTAATCGAAGTTTTTAAGTCCATCTGAGATTCAGAGTCTTGCTCAAATCTCAGTCTCCCTATGGTAGTAATATTGAGTTTTGTGGTCATTTTTTCCCAACAAAGTTTCTCGATTATCAACAAGCAAAAGGTGAACTGCTCGGAAGGCTACTAGGCTTAAGACTTCTGGGAACAGGTGCTTTTCACTCCTTGAGGTAATGGAGACAATACTAGAAATTAAGAAAAAAACAGAAAGAAGAATTCGAAGAACCATAGAAAGCGTCTCTGATGAACTCGTGCTCAGTACCTTTCCGGGTGGCCTTTCTGTCTCAGGAGGCGCAAATGGATTTCCAAACAAACGTTCAAGACGCTCTTGCTCTGACATCTTCTTGCGCTAATATATTTTCCTAGAGTTCCAAACCAAAGAACAAGTAAATAAAGCATATAAACATCATAAAAGATAAAACAAAAAGATAGAGCTCCTCGCTTTGATCAATCCCTAACGGATGCGCCGTGCATTTGACGTCATTAGGTATCGCTTGGAGGTGACTCAATGAATGTCTGGTCTTTACACAACTCGTGGTAGCCTACCGTTGTATCGAGCTAGTATTGCTATCTTCCCAGACAAGTCTGGTACCAATTTGCTGACCCCAAAAGGATCGAGAGCTTGGTGGGCCAGAAGCGCGTGGATCGATACTATGTGTGTGTGTTGCACGGCGCCTCCAACCACTGCGCCACATGCGTCTTCATATAAAGATCATATGAAACAAAATAACTATGGGTACATATGTTGCTCGCACAGTCTACACCCTCAATTTGGTACAAATAATTATGGATACGGTAGAATATGACACTTTTATGGAAGTTAATAGCAAAAATCTAGAATCAATAAAAACAAAAAGAATCATATATGCATCAATTTCGTTCACTGTAAACAGAATTCATTAGAAAACAAGCTAAGTAGTTACACAAAGCAGTAACATTAGGATTCCAGAAAAATCGGTGATATCAATGACCCATATCAATACAAAACACAAACACGAAACACTTCTAGTGCACCTGAGTACTGATCATGACTAGATGAAAAAGAAAGAACTAAATGATGTACGACTTGCAAAACGTACTTTAGATCTTCAAGGAATAAGACTCCTACACCGAAAACAGTATAAAAGCTACTCTATAACTCTAAAATCTAAGAAGGAAAACTCCTCTGTACAATACTACATGTCATCGAATATGTTCCTGGGCGACGGATGTGACTTCTGAGCACTAAAATTAGGTGTCTGGTTAACTGGAGGAGGAAGCACCCAGGAATCTGTGTGTGAAATCCCTTCATCTGATGAGAGGATTGGCAGCTCATCGTCCGGAACAATTCGACGCCCCGAACGTAGAGATCCTAAGAACAGAACGTATTTCCACAAAACACTTTCACTCAAGTTGAAATAGTGAAAACTTTGCTTGATAGGGATGAGCTCAGTTTAAATGAATAAAAAACTATCTTTAATCCCCAGAATTCAAGTTTTCTCAAAAAAAATATTCCTAACAAATTCTACGAGCAACGTCCATACATTTTAAACCTAAAATGCATATTGATACTACAATTAGACGTGACTGAACATCAGTGTCCTCCTAGTTTACTTTGTTATTCGTCGTAAAAACAATCGCTGCCAGTTTTGGACATTTTGACTCAAGTCGCTTCAACAGTATAAATCACCTACTGTTCGTTAGCTCCTTACAATACCGATAGGAAATGGTGAAACTTAGGTGAAACATGAAACTTGAAATGATTTTCTAATTTTAAAAACCACTAGTCTATAAGCAATGTGTTAGCATAGCAAAATAAGATTGTAACGGTGTGAAGACCTAATTCAAACAACAACAATGGATTTACACAAAATGTCTAGTCCTATAACTAATATGCCAACTCTGAAATATGGAGGTTTATACCGCAATAACAATGTTGTAGACAGATGTATTTCAATATGCAAAGGCCGTGAGTCCCAAAGTACGTACTTTTCTTGTACGGTGTGGGGAGGGGAGGAAGATAAGATCCCTCTTTTCGACCACCTATGTGATGCAACGGAGAGTTCAACATTTTTACCCGGAAAACAACCTATGCAAAAGTGCACGCTGGAGATCATCATCGCCCTGGACGAACATAATTTACGTGGTAGTTCGCATCTACGATGGACAAATAGGAAAGTGAAGTGCAGTGAAAGCAGTAAAATCGAGCTATAGCGAAGAGCTGGGAAAGTGTCGGCTCATCGCCTGCCACCTTAGAACTCTAAGTAGAGAGAGTGTGCCTAACTAGTAAAGTATAAACCGAACGATAATTCTGCCAGAGTTACACAATTCGTGAACGCAACCCAACCGTCTGTCAAATAATAATCTGATTATAACTCATCGGACTACAGTACCTATTATCTTCGCCAGTACACTCGGTAATGTAATGAGGCAAAAAAAACTTTATTACCCTTTAAAAACTTTATTAAAAACTACATACCCAAGCGCCCAGACCATTCTTCTTCTCTTCGAAGTCGCTCCTTCTGTCTATTAAACGAATTGCGTTCTACTTGCACCAGAGCTCGTCCCGAAGTTACCATTTCTTGCGTGAACCCATCTGACACAACAAATTGGTCGAAGCCCAAATTGTGCAGCAAGTAGGTTCCAATCCTGAAAAGGGCTTGTTGGTCCAACATGAGTAACATGGTTGTACTCTTGACAAAGACGGAATTTCAAAAATATACGATATTCTAGAAATTCTCACCTAAAGTATGTTGCAGCACAGAATATGAGTATGCAAATGGGCAGATATACGTTGATACCTTTCGCCAAGATTGGTATGACATCAAGATGCCCCATTAGCTGGAATAATAGCAAATTCATAAAATTGGGGTAAAGAAAAGCATAGAGATAGAGAATGCAAGGCCACATTACCCTTGTGAACTGGGTTTCAACACCAAAACCTTTCGCCATAGTTATATGGGAGTCGAGGTGGATCATCCCAAGAAAATTCAAACAAACTGGTGGAGTCAGACGACACAGAAGCCTAAAGAATATAGATATTTGCGTGTTTACACTGTTTAAAAACTCATAAATTCTAGTCACTTAAATCCAAAATTCGCTCGGACCAAATGAAACAGCTTTGGTTCAATCGCAGTACGCATGAGACTTAATGCACACAGTTCAAAATGCCCCATAACAAACCTACCACCATACTCATTACAAACAATCTCATTAGTGCTTTTCTGTATAATAAGAATGGAAAGTACCACGGAACATACAGTGTCGAGCAAACTTGTCATAGTTTCCTGGACTATTTCTGCCGATGTTACACAGAAGTCGGTTTTAGAGCTATATTGCTAAACCCACAAAAACACGTGGATATGAGTCCTCGATAGAAGACTTGATCATACAAGCAAAAAGTATAAGGTAGGAAACCATCAGACTAGCTGGTAAGAGAAAACGTCACCCACTCAACGCCGCTTACTCCACGAATTTCCGTCGTAGAGGGATCTCACACCAATTGTCCTCAAGGCAACGTGGCGCGTCTCCAGGTAGCGGATAGGAGGTTAACCGCGAACCAAAAGCGACCATCGCTTCTCTGAGACGCAAGCGGATCCGGGCAATGGACTCCACGATTTTAGCTGCGCCGATATGGAACATACCTTGTGCGCTTACGAGGACCTATTCACGCATACGTGCGTGGATGTGTTCTCGTTTATGCGGATTGTATTCTAGAAGTCAGTTTGTCCAAAAGCCAGCAATTAAGTAACTAGAAAGTTATATGAGAGACAGCGAGGAGTCGCTTCAAACAAATAAGTTCACTGTCTCTTCCGGTAGAGACTGGGAAGCTAATCGTGAGTATACCCAGCCACACATTCAAACATCAGCAAACATAGGTGGGTATCAAACGCAGAACACCGAAATAAAAAAGCCTCACTGCCCTGACCCCGAAAGAGCTCCTGACACGGTAGCGTAAGGTAGGACGAGTACGGAGAGGCTGCTAAAATCTTATGGCCATTCTAGGCTGCCTAAATCGAAAAGGACTAAGGTGACAATCTGTTCCTACAATGCACACACACTTCCATTTAAGTCCTCGATAGAAGACTTGATCACACAAGCAAGAAGGATAAGGTACGGAGTCGCAGGACTAGCTGAGACCAGAAGACGCCACCCATTCAACACCGTCTACGACACTAGCGAAGAACTGTTCTTCGGAACATGCGATAACAGAGAAGTCCGCGGCCTCAACTTTCTAGTCAACATGAGTTTTGCCATGAACATTGATTCATTCGGTTATGATTCAAGAGATGTGGATCAATACCGGCTTGCATAATCTTCGTCGTCTACGAAACGAAATCATGCTAAGACAAACACGAAGTCGAAGCGACTATATGGACATAAAGTAGTACTTCTCCAGAGAAGACCATGCATTCATTAAAGTCGACATTGGAGATCTTAACGTTTAAAATGGACCCAGAAGAACGTCTGATGAATGCCACTTAGGAACCCACGGATTAGAATGGATCGAGCAAAGTCAGCGGCTATCTGAGCTTACGATGATGACCAACACCATTCATGACAAGTTACAATTCCAGAAGCACCACTCTCAACGCTGGAAGTGGGAGTCTCCCAGTGGAAAATACAAGAACGAAATAGAACACATCGTAGTAAGTCAAAGGCCCTAGCCGATATCGCTTTTGCCCCTAAATTTTAAACGGGACAAGTTCATTGCTTATTTCGCACAAGTTTTCATTTCCCGCGGAAACGAGAGAAAGCCGATTCGTCCAAAAAACGAAATCCCAAAAATACTATAAACTGGGAACTATTTGGATCATTAATTTGCTCTTGGGAACATACCGCTATTGATAACATTAATAGGGGACATGATCGGCGCATTCAACATCTTCACGTTAGCCCTATGAAAGCTGAGACTTCGAGAACTTTGTCACCACCACACCAAGAGAACACCAAGAGACTTTTGTCTTCAGAAACACAAGAGCTGGTACGCTAGAATGGAATCGCTAGAGCCACAGGCAACCGCCAACTCACGTCCGAACTTGCAAAACAGTGCAGACAGACGAAAAAGAAGATCTTAAAGAGAGAAGAGCAGCAATAATGGTCGAAGCTTCAGAGGCTGGAAAAAGCATTCGCAAAGCCCTCCGAAGCTTCGCCAAATGCAAGACCAAAATGATTGCACTCCGACGCCCAGATGGAACAGTTGCAGCGTCTCAAACGGCACTAGAGAACATCATTCATGACCTCAGACTTCCTCAGTAGCCACACATTCCTGCGCTCATTTCAAATAAAGGAGAATTGATATGTCATACCACCGATTCTCCCTTCTCATATGTGGTGTGCTATTTCGTCGGTGAAGAATCGAGCACCAGGTCCAGACAGCATAAGATTTGAACTTCTGAAGAACCTTCCGCCAGGCCTCATTAACACATTAGCTCGTCTCCTCACACGCTACCTGTGTGAATTCAAGGTCCCTACGCAATGGAAGACCAGCAAATCGTGCTATTGTTCAAGAAAGGTGACCTCCACGATATTGCCAACTACCACCCAATTTGGTTGCTCTCCATCGTCTAAAAACTTTTCACTCAAGTCATTCTAAACAGGAATGAGAGAACACTGGACGAAAAACAACCATTTGAGCAAGCAGAGTTTTGAAAAGGATTCAGTAGGATGGACCACATCCACACGATAATAAAATTCATTGCAGTATCGGGAAAGTACAAAAGACCGCTCTGTCGCACATTCATTGATTTGAGCAAGGCCTTTAACTCAAAGGGGATAGAAGTAGTCACTGCAGCCCTAGACCCTTACTGTGCCCCTATTCAGCATACAAAGATTCTTCGTCAGCTCTGTAAAAATTCCACAACGAAGTTAACATCGACGTCAAAAGAGGAGTTAGGCAAGGCGATACCATCTCGCCAAAATTATTTACCGCAACCCTCCAAAACGTCATGCGAACACTGGAATGGGTCAACATGGAAGTGAAAATCGATGGTCGGCAGTTACACCATCTTCGCTTTCCTGATGACATCGTCCTTATAACACCAAACATTAGTCAGGCGGAACGAATGCGTGCCGACTTTGCGTTATGCCAGTAACTACTGTGGTACCATTGCACCCAACAGGAAAAATGGAAGGCTTACTGGCGCCTGGTTGAGTCACTCGGAACGGACGAAACGATAGGCGATATAGGTGATTCCTAAACTTGCTATAATATTCTTTCCTAACAGTTATAGAAAGTTGATTGCCCACTTGGACCATACCGGGTACAATATTTCTGGTTGGAAAGCAAATGATATACTAATAGAAACTGACTGTGCCGAGAAAGCAAAAGTACAACAAAAGTCTGAAATACAGCGCATTGAAAACAATGCACATGACATCAGTGAGTTAATTCGTCTCTTCAGAGATCAATGACAAGTTGAAAGAACTCAAACAAACACGAGAAGATTTTACAAACGACTTACTTTGCACTAAACAACAAGCTATTCGCGTCCGTATGACGATTTGGATCCAAATGATAATACTGATAAATTTTGAGGCGGAAGACGGTGAAATAAACGCAGACGCATAAGTAGCAAATAATAGCCATGGCAACAATCTAAATCTGATGTTATTTCCACTAGTTTGAATGTATTGAAGCTCTTTAAATCTAAAGCTCTCGGCGTTGATCATTCCCAGAGGAAAGCGCCATGCATTCGACCTCATTAAGCTGGAGGTAATTGAATGCATATCTGGCCTTTATAATGACTTGTGGTGGCCTACCGATGTATCGAGCCATAATTGCTATTCTCGCAGATAAGTCTGGCGCCAATTTACCGACCCCGGAAGGATGGAATGCTTGGTGGACCAAGGGCGCGGAAATCGATCCCATGTGTTGCGGCGCGCCTTCGACCACTTCCCCACGCGTGCCCTTTTGGATGTACTACATATGGAAAATTAAGAAGACTAAGAATGACGTACTTGGGTGTAATTATAATGAAATTCTTTCGCTGTATATTGCACGACTATTCCTGCAGGAGTCATTGTCGGACTTACAATAAAGAACGTACACTCGCTTATCAGGATGAAAACAGTCATACACATGAGTACGATGGAAACAAGCTGAAATCCATAGCATTGAAAAAACATTAAAAACATTATAACTTTCCACCTAAAACTGTTTGAATCACATTAATGATACTCTGGAGCTCACCTTGCACAAAGGTCTCTGCGCAAGCACGAGCCAAAAAAATCGCACGTTTTCTGGGACGAAATTAGACGATCTCTCCAGATGTCCACTTATTTCCGCTTGTGCGATATTCTCGAGATACAAGGCTTTGTTGATAAGTGATCTGTAGTCATATTACCTTATGAACCCTGTTTTTGAGCTGATCTGAAGCTACTTTGCAGTAATTTTGATGAAAGCATTAAACCTTTTACTGTTTCAACAAAGTACTCCTTTCAACCCCCTGCTACTCACAGGCTGTGCTAGATGTGCATTTGAACCATCTATTCCTACTGTTCATATTCCAAAAAGAGTGAAAAGTACTTAATAAGACCAGGAAAAACTGATACAGACCTCCACTGAGCCGTGGTACGGTGGTGGTTTTGTACAGCAGAGATTGCTCTTTTATGAAGCCGAATCTAAAAAATAAAAGTGCTTTACAATTAGAATGTCTACACAATCACTTAAAGAATAAAAAAATACCAAATAGGTATCGGAATTTATAGATCGTATGTCAGAGGCGTTAAGACTACTAAACTCTATAGCACTTCGCGCTGGAAAAAACTCCTCGACAACCTCAATACACTTTATTTAAAGCGAGAATCAATCTCAGAAACTTCAAAGTAGATAAAGAATTTATAGTACCTCTTCGGGAAACCTCGATACGATCATCTGTGCCTTCTCTCTAGTACCGTGCTCATTCTTCAAAATATTGAGAACTGTTCGGGCTTCCCTGGGCATGAATTCGTTAAAAACGGCTTGGAATACTCAAAAGATTATCGAATTCAGGGATATTCATTGAAAAGCCCACCTATAAGCGTCCTTTATAGCTTCCTCTGCTTCGTTTTTGTCAGAAAATATTTTATCGATGTTAAAATATGTTTTCCTCAGAAGGTAGTCTAGAATGTTTAAACATTAAAACAAAGGGTAAAGATAAACCACAACGTCAAAACATTAAAAAATAAAGAAAGTGAAAAGCAACTAGAATACCAAAGAAATCAGATTAATAAAAAACTCACTCGTTAGATTAAAGATAATGCCTCACCTCTATTCCCCATATTCCACAATCCACGTGGAAGTTCTACGAATCCATACCCTAGCAGCACAACTAGCAAAAAGAGACCCCATGTGTTAGAAGCAGAAACGAGTATGACTTTAAGATGCTCCCTAAGAAGGAAACCAATATAATGCTCAGAGTGTGTAACAACACCACAACAGGAGGTGTTACTTTACTCCTCATTTCGTTAAAACCGATGTTTCGGCATTATCGCCTTCTTCAGAGCCTGTAAGGGTATAATAATAAAGAATTTACTAGCAGGGAGGAATGCCCAGAGATCACACGTGATGGAGTGGTACACACATGAGCCGTATATGACTTCAAGCGCTGCTCGTCCCCAGTGGAAGGCACGTAACAAATGGTAGGTTTTTCCATAGGTTGCTAATCATGCGATTCCCATTCAGATTTTCACCTTTCTGTTTGTGCTGCTGAACCACTTGGCGTAATAAAATGCGTATCAGTATACCCTACCAGGCTCTGAAAGCGATACTGCCGGAACGTCAGCTTTACAAGAGTAATGAATAAATTAACACCTTGTGTTTGCTCAATAGGAATATCGAGAATTATTTGATCAATACCGATGTTAAAAGAAAGTCGTTCGTGAGAATTATTACAACACCACAACACTTCTCAACACTTCTGTGTTCCACATAATTCATACACTACTCAAAAGCTCTTTGACAAAAGAACCTAAAGCGAAAAAGAAACCGAAGTTATCGTGCACTTACGCGTTGATGACGACACCTTTAATAATCGCATATACAAGAAGAATTGCAAAAGCAAGCAAGTAAATCCCATAATAAACAGCATTCTGGAATAACGCAGCACGCATTTTCCCATAGACAGTGAAATCTCCAGCACTGACGAAACTCTGCATAAAAGGAAGCACGATCCTGAAAGAATCGAACATCACTGCTGTAGAAAGTGGCCCCAAATGTCCTTTGTGAATAAGATATGAACGTACTTCCAGTCCAATGTATTTTTACTTGCTTACTTAGATACTTGGATGGAATGATCACTTTGGTTGTGCAGGCACCAGCATAATCTCCATTCTCTCAGAGTTTTGCTTGTTTAGCCATTGTGTTTCCCTGGGGTCCCGAGGTCAGCCTGGCCAAACCCTGCCGCAGATCGTCACCACCACAGGCAGTCGCCGCCCTTATGGATATTTGCCACCATGCGACTAGTTTGATACCAGGGCGGTAGTGGATTCTGGTATTAGTTTACTTTTAGCTGGGCTTCCTGATGGAAATGCCTGACTCCTTCTCTGCTTGGTAGACCCTGCCACTGAGATGAATCGCCCCACTGTACATCGCAACTCGACACAGAGGAACACCTGCCAGCACGATGAAGTGGTACACCGTTGGGAGCAATGAATATCTGCTCAATCTAAAACTCGTTAACACGCTACAGTAGAGAAGTGACCCACCATGTAAGCACCTGAGACGTCCAATACACTACTCTCCACAAGCACAGAAGCACAGCACTTGGAACATAGCCGTCAGGTTTTTCACAAAGACGGGATATGACATCAGTGGAGTTCAACGATCGAGCATTCTCCACTTCACACCTATTGTATAAAGTCTGAAAAAATAGAGAAACAATATCCTACATATAGAAGGATTAGAAAAAGATTTCAAAGGATACAGAGAAACTATAAGGTGAACCTGCTAAGGATAACTCACAATGGCCACATCCAGCGGAAGTACAAAGATAATTACGAAGGAGAAACACCATCCGATGAAAGTCGACAGAATCACTGTAGGGTGGTGACGTTGCCAACCTGTGTACTAGAACAAGATGCCTTGTAAGCAAAAAACCAGTATAACCCTAAGTTACGTCACAACTGAACCAACCTGTATTTAGGCACAAACCCACTCATGAAAAAGAAACCAAGAACTGGCTAAGAAAGTCGCTGCAACGGAAACAACACATACTTTATTAAGGAGTACTGACGTCAGAACGAACACCGCCACCAGTTCGATTACGAGCGGTCCCGCAGCCATGACTGCTGAGACGCCACGTTAGCCTGGTGATTCAACCAAACGTTACAAGTAAACAGTAAACAACAAACAGAACTACGAGAAACTTCTACTACCGTGTGCTCTCTATTACTAAGCCGTACTTCCTGATGTTACTCTACAGCGTTAATCATTCCAATGAAGCGTTGCTGTTTATGATAATGTAATTGTTTATGCTAGTATAGATAGATCTGGGTATCCAACAAACCCATGAAGAGCTCTCCAACTAAGTAAACAAAGTAAGAATTTATTCTCTAAATATCATCTACATTCATCATAACTCTAGTGCTTAAGTGCAGCCAATCGAGCTGCTTCCGCGACTTTCTTAGCTTCTTTCGAAGCCATGTAATCAGCTTTATCTTTCTGCACGTCTTCAATCATCTTCTGTAAGGAGACCCCTTCTAGGAGTTGCTGGACGGAGGAATCAACCTGAAGAGCGCATTTTCATTTGGATAAAGAGATTTCCCATAAATAGATAACTAGAAACCTTTGGGGCCTCGAAATTTGTTGGGAGTTTGCCAACAACATCGGCACTTGACAGTTGGAATTTCGCAGCAAGTCGGTTGAGCTCGTCCTCAAAAATAAGGTAACGATGAAGCTTTCTAGAACAGACTTTTCCCACAATACAAACACTTGATACTTGGAAGCAGATCTTCACAAAAAACCGTGAAAGGACTACACAATGTCGCCCTAGTACGTTATTTCCAGTTGGTTTTTTCCCAGGTATCCTTAAAAACCTAAACCTACGTTGCTCCAAGTCATACTACATGTCGTCGACTGTTTTTAAGCGAAAGAAAAGACAACCGACTTCCCACAATGTTTCATCTAGGACGATAGTGAGTCCTAGAACTAGGATTGGTTTGTTCTTCTCTGTGGTCTCATGAGCGTTAAATGTTGAACACTTGAGCTTACTATAGAGGGAAGAACCACTACAAATCGCAGTTCGGTACCCGGGCACATCCCATAATACTGAAATTTAGCGGGTAGGAATGTGGAAAAGGAGGTTGAAAAAACGATTGAAAGACCAACACTGAGGGCCTTCTTCACAGCCGGGTCGGAACTGGACAGATCGCCACCCTTCTGGGCGTACTCGCGAATCTTCTTGATGAATGCCTGTTGAACGAGATCCTGTCTCACGGCCAACGTAGTGGAGAACGAACGAATCGACTGGACGGAACGGAACATGGCAACGCTGCCCCTAAGCAGATTGCAACGAAACACGTACCACATTGCTATTAATAAACAATGAGAGGTTACTGCCATTCGAATTTGTATAAATACTTTGCACAAAAACCACACTACACATAAAACTATCAAGAAGCTGACGATTCTCTCCACGAGTGAAGAAACTCCACACCCGGATACGGTGCGACGAAAGTACGCAATTATCGGACGCAAAAATGCACATAGCATAGGCCGTACCAACAGGGCTTCCGCGCAGTTTAGGATGAAGTCAGGAATGATTTTCTTTTTTTCAATTAATATAGTAATAAATAGTACCGTCCATGTGATACTAGCCTCCATTGATATCCTGCCTCGTCAAACAAACCTAATGAGCACCCACAATTCCCGCTTACCCCTTTGAAGGTCCGTGCTCAGAGTGTACCAAAGATGAACGGAAACTTGTCAAATGTTGGTCCGTTAATGGTGGTTTATTGAAGCAGTTTTCATACGCATTCCCCAAACACCATAACAGTAATCCCTGATTCATGCTTCATAGATATTTTTATTCCACAAGGCTCATCTTCACGATGAGTTAACATCGACTAGAAACATGGAAAAATTCGTAAATGAGCAGACGCACGCTGAAGAGAAGTCTACAGTGAAGTTATTAAATCTTCTGTTAACAACCACTGGAGTGTACAGGCTACCATTATGGAGGATTTATCACAAAGAAATGAATGTGTAGGATCAAATCATAAAGGCATACTAGTACATCATTAAAGGAATACCGTGTTACACTCCGATAGGAAGTGAAAGCCTTCGATGTTCGTAGAATCTGAGTTTCCTTACAGACGTGTACAGATATGCTCCAGAAAAACATAAGGACTAGGATGCAGAACAGAGAAGAATGCACAGATTCAGAATCACACCAAATCAAATAGTACTCGTATCACTTGTATCATATTTCAGTACAAAAAAAATAGTACAATTACTTATGAAGTACGTAGATATGTAGATATTGGAAATACATATTACATAGGCAATGGAGAAGCCACTGAGAAGGCCCTTCACTTGCAACATTTACCTTTGGCGCGCAAAAGCTCGTCGTCGACTAATTCGATTCGACGACCCCTTGCAACTCCATTCACTCGATTTCTTGACGAATCCCTCGCCTGTGTCATCATGACTAAATGATGCGTCGAAAATTTGTAAAGAACGTCAAAGTAATGAAATATCAGTAGCAGTATCAGCGATAAAAGCAGGCGTGTAGCGCAGTGATCGGAGGGGCTCTGCAATACACATGGGACCGCTCCCTGTGCCCAAAGCTCATCAAATCTTCCATCCCCCGGGGTCGGCAAATTGGTACCAGACTTCACTGGGGAGATAACAGCACTGGCTCAATACATCGCTAGGTCACTGCTAGTCATTGTATTGACCAGATATGCATCCAACCACCTCTAACAATGCTTAACCAAATCGAATTCATGGCGTATTGTTCAGGGATTGATCAACGCCGAAAGCTTTATCCTTCTTCTTTCAGTGGTGATAATAAACTTTCTATCGGCAGCAAATTTTGAGAATCACAAGCTTCCGATGTCTAGCAAGTTCTTCACTGTTTCACTATTCACCTCTAGCATTCTATTCCACTTCAACAATTTTTTTTCTACTATTTAGTATCTAGCAAGTTCCAAAAAAGTTCGAAATGTCAATGTACGGCACTGACTTCTTGCCTAGGTGTATAGTAGTCCCACATCAACAATTCTTAAAATTTTAAAACTGAGGAAGACGTGAATACTTCCAGCTCTTGTTTTTTCGAACAGTTTTTGCCGCTCACCTAAATGAGGAAAGCTGGCCACGTCACAGTGGCAAATTATACGTGATAGTTGAAGGGCCCGTTGGTTGTTATAAACTATTAATCATTTATAAATTTGCCGTTTTCTTTCTCAGTAATCGCGAGGTTGTTAAACAGCATACATTTATTTCCATACAATAACACATATACAACGCAACCGTAGCTGACGCTTCGGCAGCAAAACGTTAGGCGAATACACATCTTTATCAAGCTCGTGTTAGCTTAATAATCCAACAAGGTATTCACTGCGATGATAATTCAAGAATTTAGCAAAAGCGCTAGGAAAACCCAATTTGAAAGTAAGGAAGAGAAATTTGTCCGCGTAAACTGGACAGCTTCCATTCCAACGCACAGTTATATCGGCAAAAACCTACTAGTGTATGCTAAATATGTAGAGGACTGCAATGAAGCGATAAAAACGACCTCAAGCAGAGAATAATAGCAATCTTCGCTGAATTTGCAAAGGTCAGGAAAAGCAGGCACAAAGCATGCTGATCCTCGCCAATTAGTGGGAAATGATAATATTCCAACGTTTAGAAAGAGTGGTAATTGCATTAGACCTCATTACATTAGGAACGCTCATCCAGTTTGCCCACTGCCCGCGTCAATTTCAACAAAACTGAGAACATTGCACAAAGAGCACCTATGGGAGCAATCAGGGCTCTAAACAAAGTCCAGTACGGATGATTAGATTCACACAACAAAGAAACGCACTGAAATATTACGAGTAAACATTAATCGGGCTTAACTCTGATCAGATAGGTATAGTTATGTAAGCGCCTGGCAACAAGAGCCGTGCAAAGCAGGGTACACATAAGCCATTTATAAGTCATATAGCAACTTCACAACTCGTAGCGCAACGTTTCCTGAGTTTGTTACCACATAGATTTAATTATTCTATTTGACCGTCGAAGGTTTTGTAGCTTTTCACCATCGTTATAAATACAAGTCACCCCGCCCACTATTATAAACAATCGGCAGTGTATCCTCCCACCGAACCACAGAGACATCCTACTGCAGTGTATTTAATGGACATACAATGTTTTAAAAACCAATGATCTGATAAACCTAACCGTTCACTTACCCTTGCACAATCTTTCGAAAGCGCTCTCAATGCCGACATTCTCTTTCGCAGATGTTTCCTCGTACATGGCTCCCACAGACGATGCATACCTGAAGGTGATGGTGGCAATGAACCCATAAGAGAAACTTAGTGAATAAAAACCTGTCAAACATTTCTGGAAACAAGGTATTGCCCGAAAAAACCAACTCCTGAGCTTCTTCCATACTGACGGTCCTGTTTCGAGCTAGATCCGATTTGTTTCCCACAATCATCAGCACGGTGGAATTCCCTAAAGCCCGTTGTAACTCCTTTATCCAGACCTTCACCTAAACCACTGCACCAGCATTTGCACACAACAACAGAGACATAACAGACACTGTGCCCTACTTCACAATTTATTTACTTCATTGATTCGTACGGCAAACTACTACTTCTGGTGAGAAGGACACCATGACGTCACTGCTGCACAAACGCAACACATGACTCTCGCGACCATTATTTGCATTCTGTACTGACTAAAGAGCATAGACAGTTGCTAATGAGAAGGGTGAAACGTAGCTTAGTATAGTATGCCATCTACAATAGGATCTTATTATTTCACAGAAATATTCCTCTTTAGTTGCCTAGAAATGGAATGCTTGTTATGCCATCTTGGATTTATAAACTGGAGACGTGCTTTGTTTGACTGAGTTTTTATTGATTCTTTCAGTTACGTGAGTTCAACTTCAAGATTTCATTAAGACATAGATTATCGTAGATTCCACACAGCTGTTAAATATGAATGCTGGATTTGCCAGACTTTGCACTCCGTAACCGAGTTTGAATGAAAGCTTCCTACTAGAAACCGTAACACCGTCTCCTTCTTTTACTTATAAGTACGAAATCCATGGAAAATACTATAACTCATGTCTAAAAAATTTTGTTAAAATTCCTAAAAATTGAAGGATTATCATTAAGAATACAGACTGAGCAGTCAAAATTTCAGGATAGTACATTTACTACAAATACGGTTTACAGCCTCACCGTGACTGGTAGGTGTTCCTGGATGTCGAGTTGTAATGTACAGCGGGAGTGGATTCATCATCGGCAGGGTCTCCCAAGCTGAGGAGCCCGGGGTTTCCACCAGCAAGCCCAGCTGAGAATAAACCAATGGCAAGATCCACCACCGTTGCGGTATCAAACTAGTAGCATGGCGGGAAATCTCCCTCTGATCCACAAGGACTATGACCGCCTGAGGTGGTGACGACCTGGGCAGACTTTGGTCAGGCTGTACTCAGGACTCCAGAGAACCACAATGGCTACCCCAGCAAACCACTTGAGAATGGAAATAATGCTGTGACCCACACAAACAGTGAAGACGGGCCATCCAACTATCAAGTAAGTACTTCCACTAGGATACAATATCGAATATTCAAATATATCAATCTAGTATAAACTTTCTGCACCCATATGTCTCGAAGGACTTTTCATGCTGATACAAGTAGAAGAAAAAACACCATAAATTCCCAATTAGGTCTCTATTATATCATTTTGCGTTTCTAAGGTAAATTTTTATTCTCTTGACAGTGGCGCATCTACCCGAAAGATCAAGAATCAAACGATGATGCACGACGCGAACAACCAGTATGCGTACAAAGTGACCAGTGCTCCAGAACAACCACAAGTATAAGATTTTTGACTACAGCTAGATTACAGTTTCAAGCAGCATGAAAACAAATTCTTTGCATGGGCTTAATTTTTACCGCCAGCGACGAGCATGGAAAAATCGGTCCAAAGAAGGGTTTTCGTTGAATGTGCGGGCCTCAACGTAACCTCCACTTTAAGGACATTTGCTGGTTAAGCCATTACTGTTCCCTGAAATCCTGAGGTCAGCATGACCAAAGTTTGCCCCAGGTCTTCACCACCACAGGCAGTCGCAGGCCTCGTGGATCAGAGGGAGATTTGCCACCACGCTACATAGATGTTATGAGCTATCAACATAATTCGAGATCTATTAACAAGTCCGCTGAGCATAAAATTTGAGAAGGGGCCTTGGAAGAATAAAATACTCATAGATATCATTGTACTTCAGAAGTGTGGAGGTCAGTAGGTGCAAAAAGATGAACATAGCAAGGCAGTTTTGCCTTCCCAGAAGGGAATGCGCCGTTACAAGGGCTGTAGTGGTTAACCCTACCAGCATCCAATAATTACAGGTACTCCGAAAACATCACGGTCGCACTAGCTATGAAAACAGGAACTAACTCTTTCAAAAGAACGTTGGTCGGTAATGTCGAAGATCAGAAGAGCTCCTTGGCTGCCCCTATAATAGCAGAAGCACTTGGGAGTCACTACTACTAAATGATGTCAGTGTTAACCTAAACTAACCTGTAGTAAATAGGTCCCAAAGCATGGTACTTCTCCTGCCCGGCGGTATCCCATACGTTTAATGTTACGCGACAACCGTCAAGTACAAGTACCTTTGATTGAAAACTTGCCTGGAACTCACCATTACCTAGGCTCAGGAAAGAAATCTGACAAGACCGTACCTGGATTGTTGATGGATGCCTTGGGTTAAACTTATTTTCCACATATCGCATGATCAAAGAAGACTTTCCAACAGCTCCTTCTCCAAGTAAAACTACCTGAGTACATAATGTTAAAACGCAAGAAGAAGTGAAAACAAAGGAAAGAACCATACCTTGAACTGGAAATCTGATGTTCCAGCACTCTCCATCTACTACGGAATCCAGTGAAACCTATGGCGTTGTGAAAACATTTTTCCTAACTTTTGAAGCAAAAGATTACAGCAACATCAATGATATATGATAGAAAATCTTAGCAGCCAGTAAAAGGTGGAGGTGAGACCACAACAACTGTCAAACTCGCAAAAGCCAACAAACAAGTTTATACAGAAAGCGTGGAAAGTCAGTACATAGTGATACCGCTTGGAGCTATAATTGCCCACATTGTGCAACAAGTATGGGAATCTTGGGTTTGTTATTGGCACCGGTTTGGACGTTCTCAATCTTCCGCACGGTTAGCAATCCATCAAGAACTCTTCCTGAACCAATCACGAATAAGAACTGAGGACTCCCGGATAGAAAATTAGGCGGAAAGACTAAACAAACCGAAAACAACGTGTTTCTTATCTAAAAAGTCCGTTTTGGCGCAAGTAATGAAAAATTGGCATCCGTTAGTGTCAGTTCCTGCATTTGCCTGGAAAAAATAGTATAAGTCGTTTATGGAACTATGGCCTAAGTTCGAGAAAGAAAAACTTGCTAGAGAAGAACTCACCATGGAAAGAATCCCAGGTCCACTATGTTCCAGAGTGAAATTCTCGTCTCGGAATTTGGCACCATAAATGCTCATCATGCCAGTCCCATCACCCTAAAGCTATATCTCTTTTAAATATTTCAAGCAAAGCGCGGTTGATCTCCTATTCTATCAGAAGAAACAAGGACACAAATATAACCACAGTGATGCTAATATATTTGCAAAACTTTGCACCGCTTGGATCTGCGGTGGGGACCGAACACGCTATCACCCTTTCCGGAGACTAACGCGTTCAGCATCACACCATGCGAACCACTCGTTTTGCCTTTCTCTCACTTAACCTAAAGGTACTACCAGCACCATCACACAAACCTCCAAATGTGTACACTAAAATTTTATACTATTCGAATTCATCAAGCATCGTAGAACTGAGTGAATATATATTCGGCCATCACAATGATTTGAGATGCTCTACAAATGGATCAAGCCATCCTTCCAGACAAGTACGCAAGGAATTTGCCGACGACCCCAAATGGATGAAAGGCTTGGTAAGTTCAAGGCGAGGTATTGAACCACGGACTAATCCAGTGTTTTGCAGGGCATATCTAACCACTGCGCTATGCACGCTCGTAAGAACTTACGTTCACGAAATCTCCTCCTTGTATCATAAAGTCTTTGATAACTCGATGGAACTGGCTGTTCTTGTATCCCACTGGAACTCCATCCTTGCGAAATTCTCCAGTACAAAACTGCCGAAAATTTTCAGCGGTCCGTGGCGTGACATCGGCAAACAATTCCATCTGAACAAATCAGTACTAGGGTTATAGATAACCAGACAGGGATAGAACTGTTACTCACCACTATTGTGCCAAGTGGTGCTCCACCTGCTGTCATTTCCATGAAGACGATAGGATTATCAGGATGTCTCAACTGTTCTGCATATTTGTCGTAGTCTGACATGGCGTCACTTCAAAACATTTATTATAGAAGATAGACAAGTCTTCTTACCCTGAAGATAACCGTTAACAAAATGAGCTCAACTACGATGGACTATGGTGAGATGCGATATCTCGACGCAAAGATATTTTCAGTATCGATACCAAGAAATCTATTCAAATCAAGGGTGAACCTTAAATAGGTAAGACAGGATTGAAACGACAAACATCGTTCAAGCTGAACTTCAAGAATAGATGAAACGTAAATGGCGCAAAGCGCAGCACATCTTGTGAAAAATTGCGGTGAATGCAGTGTACACATTGCAGACAAGCCGCCACGATTTCCGCCCGTACGAGTTCCCGCACGTGCATGCGCGTCCGCCAGTGGTGCTGCATCGTCGTTTGCTTTAAATTCTTGTTTACCGGCCTGCCCACCGGTGGCGTCGACGTTTTTCTCGTTGTATTCGGCTTCTGCCTGCCCTTTCTATGTGAGCTGGTACTGGAGGTACTGGAGTAGTGCCTGTACCGATTAATTTGTGGCAATGAGCGATAGCACTTCGTTGTTAACGGCTGTTGCGAAGGCATACCACAGCGTTATTTTGTTAGTCCCAAGGTTTCCATTTTAACTCCCATGTGGTGCAGTTCGGTGTTTGTTGCCTTCCACGTTGTAAACTTTTTTCTGCAATGTTAGTCGTGAAAATTTCAATCTGTTAACTCTTTAGGGTCCAACATGAGCAATACTCCGGTTGACTCCGATGGTCTAATTGAGGTATTTCATTCGCAATCTTTTTTTTGCCACTTTTAAAGACCTTAAAATGCTATATCTTGCCATGGGTATATGAGAAATGGATGTGTTGAAGTGTCAGTTACTTACTTGGATACTTGGATGGCCCGTCCTCCCCAGTTGTGTGGGCCCCAGCAAAATTTCCGTTTTTCAGAGTTTTGCTGGTCTAGCCATTGTGGTTCCCTGGAGTCCCGAGGTCATCTTAACCAAGGTCTGCCCCAGGTCGTCACCGCCATAGGCAATCGCCGGCCTTGTGGATCAAAAAGAGATTTGCCACCATGCGACTAGCTTGCTATCAGAATGGTGGTGGATCTTGCCATAGGTTTACTATTAGCTGGGCTTCCTGATGGAAACCCCGGACTCCTCAGCGTGGGAGACCCTGCCGGGGTTGAATCCACCCTCACTGTGTGGCGTAGTGGTGAGAGGCGCCCTGTAACTCACACGTGGAATCGATCCCCGTGCTGATGGCCCACCGAGTTTTCCATCCCTCTGGGGTTGACAAATTAGTACCAGATTTGTCTGGGAGGATCTCAGCATTGGCTCGTTCCATACATCGGTAGGCCACCGCGACTCGTAAAGACCAGATATGCGTTCAGTCACCTCAAATGATGCTTCATGAAGAAGCATGGCGCATCCCTGAGGGATTGATCAACGCCAAAAGCTTTACTCTTCTTTATCTTTTTTGTTTTCATTGCTATGCACAGAAGCAATAATTGAATGTCCAGGGAAACTATGAACAAATTGTTGCGAGCTTTGATGTTATGGATTTGAAACAGAATCTTCTGCGAGGAATCTACGCTTTTGGTTTCGAAAAACCATCGGCTATTCAGCAACGTGCCATTGTTCCTTGCACTACTGGTATGCGGATTTCCTACGACATATCTTGTTCCTTTTCTTCAAAATGGATAATGCACCTGAATAGGGGATAACTTCTGTACAAATGCTTAACCTTAAATCAGAAAGTCTGACTATTTTTGTTCCTATATATTCTTTAGCTACTACTTTATGCTTACAGGCCGTGACGTTATTGCCCAAGCTCAGTCAGGAACAGGGAAGACAGCTACGTTCTCAATATCCATTTTGCAACGCATCGACGAAAACGACCCCAGCGTCCAGGCGCTAGTTATGGCTCCGACTCGTGAATTGGCTCAGCAGGTAGACTAGCAAAATTGAACCATTATGGTGGTGAGATATTTGCAAAACTTGGATCCCAGGCCCGATCGGATCGAATACAACCATTCTTCATGTGTATCTGATTTAGTTGGTGAATTTCTGCATGTTCCTGATAATATCGCTGTAATGTTTTAGATCCAGAAAGTTATGTGCGCTCTCGGGGACTACATGAACGTCAAAGTGCTTGCTTGTATTGGAGGGACAAGCATCCGTGATGATCAGCGCCAACTGGAGAGTGGCGTACATGTTGTCGTTGGTACACCTGGTCGTGTCAATGACATGATAAATCGTAGCGTTCTCCGTAAGTGTAGATTATTATCATTTATTTGATTGTGATACAGCGATATGCTGTTATCCACTATGCAGTATTAAGAACTTAAATACTTGAAGTATCTTTTGCACATACGTAAATCATCGTCTAACTCGAGTGTGGAACACTAAACTCCATTTCATCCCTTGCTCGCCACAGTTGGGCAAGGGATAAAAGGAGCGTCAAAGTTTTAACACGATCCTCTTTGCTATTGTTTTTTGGCGAGAGAGTGACTGTACGGAGCTTGTCGGACTATTGTGGGATGGGTTCACCGTTATTATGAACCCGCATGAAATTCTCTATTTAATTGCTGACAAACTGGTCAGCATTTAGGAAGTAGTGTTGTCTTTTGTAAATACAGGCCATTTCCATCATGGTTAAGGCGAAAAGGAACTTATTTTTTTATTCGTTTCCATGTGCTGTAAATCGCTTTTTGCTGAAAATAGTGTGAAACTGTATTTGTCTTAATGGTGTTGAGTACTCTTTCATAGACCACCAAGGTTAAAAGAGCGGATTAGTGTGATTTATGCACAGAATTCTCTTATAATCTTTTTTGCCTGGGTAGATGAGATTCCCCTGTTCTGTATGTGTATGCTGCTGTCCTCTATGTTGTATGACGGATGGATTAGTCGTGGAGAGCTTATAAAGCATATCTAACAACCGAACTGCGAAGTATGTGCAATGGTCCCCTCGGTCTTCTTCCTGGACAGAATGCTCTCCCCCGCGGTTTTCTTTTGGTCTGGGATGCGTTCCATCTGATTGGCATAAAAAAATTAAAAAAAGCTCTGTGTTGTTCAATCCCTCAGAGAAGCGCCATACCATTCGACTTCACTAAGCATCGCTGAAGCTGATTGAATGCATATCTGGCTTGTACAATGAGTCGCGGTGGCCTACCGATGTATTGGGCCAGTGCTGCTATACCCACACCCAGATAAGTCTGGTACGAATTTGCCGACTCCGGAGGTATGGAAGGCTTGGTGAGCCTTAGCCGCGGGAATCGGTCCCATGTGTATTGCAGGGCTCCTACGACCGCTGGGCCAGACGCGCTTGATTGGAATAGACTACGAAAAGTGCTTGTAATTGTAGACTTCCGGCGCTCACGAAGTTTACTGCTATGCCATCTGGTATTGTGGACATCGTTGCTTTCAGTTGGGACTCCAATTTGAGAGTGACGTATTTGGTCTGATTTTTCTCTGTGTGGGATTTATGGATCTGAAACAGGCTCATCAGAAATGGTTCGAGTAGAGCTTTTCCGTTATAATTTCCGTACCACAGAACTGTTTCGTAGTAATCTATTTTCATTCATCAAAACTGACAGTTTTACATTATCAGTTCTAGAAATATCTGCGAGTAGCACTTATTAGCGTGCAGATTGTTCCCATCTTTTCGAGTGGAACTATTTTATTGTTGATGGTAGTGATGTGAGCTTATGTCCGTAACTCAGTAGTTTGGCGTATTCGTTTTTCAGCCTTTCGGCGAACAGTTCACAGTCGTTGGTTTTCTCTTAATCACCATTCTAGGTTTTCTATTATTCACCTCACATGTAGTTAAAGGAATCGTTTGCCATGTCATCATCATTCAGTATATAACTTTTTCTTCTCGGATAAGAACACGATTTTTTTCCTGCTTGTGGATAGATCTAATCTGCTTGTAGAGAAGGCAGTGGATCTAGGTCTGAGAGATTCATTACAGAGGTACAAGGAAGGTGTTATCCTTTTTTGGTAAAAATTTAACCGATTTCCGTATAACTCATGTCATTGGGCAGTTGCTAAATTCAGGGGTTGGTATGACAGCGACTATTTTTTTATCCATGACCGGGCTTCTGGATGGAAATATCGATTTCGTTCTTAATTTTGTGTTATGCAATATGGCTGAAGCTTTAGCGGTATATGTCGCAGTTCAAAATGCTGAAAAGTTAGTCTACAACGACAAGGTAGCAGACCATGAAAGTGAGAGGATATCACAAATGTCATAATCATGAAATTGAAGTAGAATTTAATAGTCTTTTATCATCGTTTTCAGAAACAAATCTCATCAAGATGTTTGTGTTGGATGAAGCTGATGAAATGCTTTCGCGTGGTTTCAAGGATCAAATTTACGAAGTGTTCAAGACGTTGCCACAGGAGGTTCAGGTTTGTCTCACGAATTCGAAAAGCACTGGATACTGTAGTGCAGTAATAGGATGAAAAAAGGTCAAATAACTTGCCGTTTAAAGGTGGTATTGTTGTCTGCTACAATGCCTGCTGATGTCCTTGATGTAACCAATCGTTTCATGAGGAATCCAATCCGCATCCTTGTCAAGAAGGAGGAGCTCACTCTTGAGGGTATTCGACAGTTCTACATAAACGTTCAGAAAGATGTAATACATTCCATCAGTGTAATCAGCATCGCTTACATTTTCCTTTTATTTTATTGCCGATATTGAAGGAGTATAAGTTCGAAACTCTTTGCGATCTTTATGATTCTGTCAACGTAACACAGGCTGTGATTTTCTGCAATACGCGAAGAAAGGTATTCGGTGAATTGGATGGCATCATACTAATTTCCCTTTGAACTTCCTTTTGCAGGTTGAACAACTCACCGAGCAGATGACCAAAAAACAGTTCACCGTTTCAAGCTTGCACGGTGATATGGAGCAACAAGATAGGAATGTCATTATGCGCGAGTTCCGTTCTGGGTCTTCCCGTGTCCTTATTACCACCGACCTACTCGCTCGTGGTATTGATGTCCAACAGGTTCGAGTTAACATTACGCTTTAACAGTGTGGACGAATTAAGTCATGAATCGCTTTTTTACTAACTGCTTCTCTTGTTGCTCACACGCTTTTTACGATACCTTTTTACCGCGTTCGCAGCAGTGTTAGGAGCTCCCCTGAGACGTGCATTGGATCGATCCCATCGCACCTGAGCCACCAACCCTCCCATCCCTCCGGGCTTTCAAATTGGTGCCAGACTTATCTGGGAACATAGCAGCATTGGATCAATACATCGGTAGGCCACCGCGAGTAATTGTAAGGGGCAAATATGCATTCTGTGACCTCCAAACGATGCTTAGTGGAGTCGAATCAGTGGCGCATCCCTCAGGGGTTGATTAACGCTGAGAGCTTTATCTAAAAAGCTTTTAGAGCTTTTTACCATCTCGATAGGTTCTTTACTACAGATTTTATACTAAGTATTAGGTGAAGGAATATGTTTTGTAAACACGGTTTGCCAAAGCAAACTGGGTTGAGTCTATTCGTTCCATTGTGTGATACACTACTGGTTAGAGTGCTGCAGAGAATGTTGCTGATGAGGAGGGCAATAAAATGGTGTCTCTATTGTTCGGTACGTTGAAGTTCGACACTTAGAGACACATTCTGGTCACGATAAGATGATAAGACTATTGAAGAGAGTTGTGTATATGCACTTTTAGTGCAAATATATTCTTTATCTTTGCTGATAGCGAAAGAGCCAGGCCTTTCTAATATGTGAGTTCATCAATTCTTACCGTAGGTTTTTGGAAACTACGGATTTTTAACTCTTGTTTTCACAATTACATTGACCATGCCCGTGTCGCGCTCTAGCAGTTTATTTTGCATTTTACCCTTTACAGTTCACATTTTTTGGGTACTATTGAAATACCGTGAGAAACAACATTCCTTACATGTGTCCAGTTTTCACCTTACTTGATACGTATACCAGAAGATTTTGTGCCGTCGTCAAGTCGAATCGAATGGAAGAAGCGCTCGGATTTGCAGAATTAATGTCGCGTCATTTAAAATATGAAAATGCCTGTTTAGGCATATCTTCCTGAATTTTTCCTTTGATAAGTTATGAAATAATGAATCTTGTTTCTCTGGTTTGTATACTATACTCGCTCCCTGTTCAGATGCCAACTGCCGAGATTATTTTAGAATATTCCCAAGACCGACTTTCTGTTAACCTCGGCATTGACTGATAATTCACTGTCTTTCTTCGATAAGCAAACACGAGGTTGGTATTATAAAATTTATTAGCATGCAGCAGCTGATGTTACGGTTGCTTCGCTTTCTTGAGAGCCTGGAAAGCTCAAAATGACATGCTATTTACTCAGGTAAACACTTTCATAACCTTAGCAGGGAAGACTTCACACGCAAATTTGTGTATTTGGATTTAAATTTGCATGTGCAAGTCCTATCTGTGAATGACTAGCATAGTGGTAGTGGTGTCCGACATCACGACCATGGTGTTAGTTCGATTCCGCTCCAGGCCAATGAAGCCTCTCATCCCTCCGAGTTCGGGAAACTGGCAGCGGATTAGTCCGGGAAAAATCACTCTCTGCAATCTAAATGGGAGGGCTCTAACCCGGCTATCTCAGGACTCCAGAGAGAATTGCTCGACCAGCATTCTACGACATTCAAGATGAAATGAAAATCCTCAAGCAGCAGCCCAGGCCACACGTGAAAGTTGGAAGATCTTCGTGGACAATGGATGCGGGGAAACAAATCGAATGTGAGAAGTGCTGGGATCCGCACGTTAGACGTGAGGACGGGTCAAATAAAGTAAATAAAATTACTAGCGATTAGAGCACCTACGGATAGAATTGCTTGGTTTGTAAATCTGATCCTAAACCAGTTGCTTAATAACGTACCAGATCATCTCACGAACACCCAAATGTTCCTAGACCGTCCGCGCAACACATCCCAAAAGCGTGTGCGTTATGGAGTCGTTCGAGGTTACCGCCCTTTACACTAACGTGTCGAATGACTCCGCAATTCAAGCCATCCGCGAGTTTCTTGAGCAACACGACGGAGCAATTAACATGTATGGCTATGTATTACTCTGCAGCTGCTATCCACCAACTAATTTGAATACTTACGACAAATAAACGGTAGGTGTTTAAGTGAAGCTCTTTCTTATGCGAATACAAATTTATTTGTTAAGTTCTATCTGCTAGGGTTATGAAAGTGTTTGGCTGGGTAGATCGCATCTCAATCTGACCTTTCCAGACTCTGGAGAAGGCGAAACCGCCGAAACGTCAGCCAGCTATTGTATCCTAATAAATTCTATAATAACACCCTCGTGTCTGCTTATTAAAGGAATACATCGAATTATTTTAGAATATTTGCGCTTCTTCTCAATATCTTGTAACTTTTCGAGCTGTCGATTACTCTCCTGCAGTTACTCTTATACATTTTACTTTTTTAAAAGTACCGATATATGGTTTACATGAGTTGTGAAACCGGCTACAAAAGAGCAGCAGCGTAGTTCGTGGGGTGGAGAGCTTTCTTCATCACACGAAATATGTTGAGGTTTTCCAAGAACAAGGCAACAAAGAATGCATGGAATATAGAAAGCAGATATTTGCTACCAAAATGTGTAGAAAACTGAACTTTGAAATGAGAAGTTCGCCAGGTTTCTTATTGGGTTGGTGGGGCATTGTAAACGGAATGAAAAGCGGAAACCCACAACGCTGAAAGTTTTATGTTAGGAGTCAGCTAGATATTTTTCGTTTTTTTTTTGCATCGGATAAATTTCTTCTTTCCAGGTGTCACTTGTCATTAACTACGACTTGCCGTCAAATCGAGAAAACTACATCCATCGCATTGGACGTTCAGGACGTTTTGGTAGAAAAGGAGTAGCCATTAATTTCATTACAGATAATGACATACGTCAGCTTAAGGAAATAGAGAGTTTCTATAATACTGTTATTGAGGAAATGCCTGTGTCAATTACCGATCTTCTTTAAACAGTCTGTTTCCTTTGTCCTTTCTTTCAAATTTCTCTGTCTCTCTACTGAAAGTCCCACTGTTTTGTTGGTTATCTTTGGCTCGATATTGTTTTCTTGATTGTTGATTTTATTCCACGAGCGTCTAAATTTTATTCGTCGTATTAAATATTTGAAGCTTAGCTGGTATCATTTGCCTACCAATGTAGACATATTTTCCTAAATAACCCGATTTTCCTTGTTGTGAGGATGCTGGCTCTTGTTTTCTTTTGGTTTTTTGTCTGTCGCATCCGTCACCCAGGACGATTTTCGGATTTTCATGTTTGGAAGCAACAGCCTAGAACGTATTATGAAATGGCATGTCTTCCACCTTGCTAACCAGGCTCCATAAAAAGTAGCAACTGTAGTCCGAGGACTTTTCCAGGTGCCAGAAGACGTTAGCGTCCTAAGCAGAAGATGAGAAATTGACATGAAGACAGTTTAGTTTGGTAATAATGTCTTTCAAGAAGCGAAGTTCTTGAGGACAGGTTCACCCATTAAGCTTGCTATAAAGCATGATTTAAGTGTTACCGTTGCGTAACAGATGTCAATAAGTCAACTACTGCAGTGCAACTGAGAAGATTTTAACGAAGTAGTTAGGTGCTATTTGATGCTCAATGTGGAAGCTTTTTTCCAGACAGGAGACCAACTTATTCGAATGTTACTTTCTCAGCGCCGTCTTTAAGTTACTTTATGGCTATAAGCTAGTTTATGCTGGTGCGAAGATGTCGAAGAATACATTCACGAGATAGTGCCGATCTTTCGCTGAATGTAAGAGGTTTTTTGGCAAAAAGCACAATCGACACGCAGTCCCATCAGATGCAAAAAGTCGACCATTCACGGAAATCTGTTAAATCTACAAAGTTGGCGTGCCGTTTAAGAGTTAACGCATCGCATTATCATCGAGCCGTGTCATTCCGCACCTGCTGACAGATGCAATCCCTTCGGCCAATGACCGAATGGTGCCCCGCCTCTGAGCCTTCGGTAATTCGTTTTTGATATTTGCGCCAAACTAATGTGATGTGCAGATTCATCCGTGAGATTCATGATTAACAAAGCATAAAGCTGTCAGCGTTTACCAATCGTTAAGGGGTACGCCATGCATTCGACTTTAATAGGCATCGTTAGAGCTAACTGAGTGCATATCTGAGCTGCACAATGATTTGCTAGGGTTTTACCCATGGATGAGGTCATTGTTTATGATTATTCTAGACTAATATGGTATTATTTCGAAACCGACTTTCCTTGAACCTCGGTATCACTAATCAATATGTATTCTTTCTTTGATGAGCTTACACGAGGTTGATAATGATATTTATTTTCGGCTAACGTTTCGACGGCTTCGTCTTCCTCAGAGCCGATGATCCGAGTCTCCGAGTCGATGGTCCTCGCTTGTTATTCGTCTCGACGTCTTCGCCTTCGTGTCAAGTCAGGTCTTCCTCAGTGAGCCTAATATGGTATTAGTTTTCCGGTTGCGAAAGGATGGAAGGCTTGGTAAGCGTAGGGCATGGGATTGAACTACCGACCAGGTGTGATCATGACACCCCTACCCACCATGCTATGCGCATCTCATAGGCACGAATACACGAGTACACCAGGATGAAGTCATCGCAGTAAAGGCTTTGGCGACTGATTGTTTCCATAGAAATGCTGTAGACCCTGGTTCCAGTTGCCTGGAATTTTAGACTCTGATGGCTTGTGTTGTCGAAGATTTCCCTTACATCCAAGTATTTCTCTTTTTTTTTTGTAAGCAACTTATGGCAATAATCTGTTCAAGCTAACTTCCCATAGCTATAGTTAATGCGATAACACGATTTCATTAAAGCACTTCGATTTTAAGATTTCGTTGGTGAAGCAACCAAAGGAAAAGGTGTGGAGATGTGTCAGTGAGACTGGTATTAAAACATCGAACTGGAAACTGCGCATCGCTGGTAACCCACGTTTAATTCGATTCAAATGCGTTAACAGTACTGATTACTAGGTTCTATTTGTGTACTTGCATAAGTCAGTAAATATGAATGGGTAAGCCTCTTCTTGGAATTTTCAGATGGCTGTGCGAGCACTGTCTCACGTCATCATCTCATACAGACTAAGGATCATGTAAATTGGAGGAAGAACTGTTGTTTTGCAGTTACGTTTTCGCTGTGATGGCAGTAAATCTTGGTTCAATCCCTGCTGAATTTCTTCAAGGCAATATCGAATTCAGAAGGGATAACTATCTAGGACACGTACTCCCACTTGTACTCCTCCTGTAGACTTGTACATCTAAGAAAACAGATTCACTACGGTATAATAGACACCAGCAAGTGTTGTTTCAAAAAGAATCAGAATAACAACCGATGATATGTTTGACCTCATTTAGCAGCGAGAAACGTTATGTGTTTGTTCTAGGATTAAGGATGTGCACGTATACAAGAGTAAAGAAAGAATATGTGATTAGGATCCGTGGTTTCCATCGCTGACTACCAGTTTCGGGTGTAGAAATGCCGGTTCGAGAGCTGGCGAAAACAACTGCGCAAAAGTACGGTCATGTCTGACCCGATTAGGGGCGATTATGAAAAGAAAAAGTGGTTTACGCGCTAACCATATAAATAGCCAAATGTCAAGGATACCTAAACTTATCTGAATGCGTTTTCTCCTTCTTATTTACTGAACTGGACCACTGCACATATGGTTTCCTGCGATAATATTACCATTGTTAATTGGCCATATAGTTGGTTTAGTTACTTGCGATATTCTTCCATAAATAGTGCAACGTTTAAGACAGTTTGCTAATGGTTTCGAAGCATCCCATTAACGCGCATGTAGCGCAGTGGTTAGAAGTGCCGTACAACATGCACAAGATCGGTCCTTGATTCGATCCTCCGCTCCGGGTGCGCCAGCCTATCCCTATCGCCGGAGTGGGTAAATTAGTAACAAACTTCTGTGAATGAATAGCAGCACTATCTTGATCCATCAGTAGGCCAGCGTAAGTCATTATATTGGTCAGATTGCACTTAGCGACCTCGAGCAATACCGATGAATTTGAGCGTACAGTGCCGCATTCCACATGGATTGACCAAGGCCGAACGATGTGTCCTTTATCCGTTATCCTTTATTATTAAGGTCTAAAACTGTTTCATTGCAAACAAGGCATATAACCGAACCACCAGGCTTTGCGATATGCTTTTGATCTGGAGTAAGTGCTTTCCTTTCAGTGAGAATCGTGCGGAAAACGACTACACACAAAAATTAGTGTGTTGTATAAACTGCGCGCTTTATAATAATTTCTGATTCCGTTTGATAAAACTGCAGGAATATTTATTTCATTATTTACTTGTTTACATAACCCGTCATCAGGTCTACCGTTGGGATCCCACTACCTCTTGCTTTCGATTCGTTTTCCTTGCATTCATTGTCCTCAGTGGTCTTCGAGCATTTTGCGTGTTATTTCGACTGCTGCATGAGGATTTCGTCTTGTTTATAAATGTCACAGAACGCTGGTCGAGTCAATTCTCTACAGCCTTGGAGATAGCCGAGCTGAGACGTTCCCACGTGGATTAGAGTAGAGCGTTGAGGCTAGGATCGAATTAGGGCATTTGCTTTCTAATAGAGAGCATCACTAACCACTGCGCTACTCCCACTCCACTGTAGAAATAACAGGTGCAAGTGAATAGATTTATAGCTGTTAATACGTCTCGCTCTCCAGTGGGCGCCAAAAGCGCAGTGGCTACAAGTACTGTGCAATAAATCCTTGGTCAAAAACTTTATTTTACTGGACAGGCCCAAGCAAGTCTTTCATTCTTCTAGAGTTTCTAAATTCGTGGAAAACTTACTTGGAAAAAGCGTTATCTGATCCACAAAGCAGCTGCCCTATTATGAACTTGACAATATGAACTATACATCAAAGCTATCCCAGGACTACACAAAGAATACTCTACCAGCGTTCAGCTATATTTGAAAGATAAAAGAATAAAGGATAATGCTCCCAGCGTTGATCAATCCCTAAAGGATGCGCCGTGCATTCGACTTCATTAAGCATCGATGGAGGTGATTGAATGCATATCTGGTCCTTACAATGACTCGCGGTGGCCCACCGATGTATCGAGCCAGTGCTGCTATTCTCCTGGACAAGTCTAGTGCCAATTTGCCGACCCGAAGGGATGGAAGGTTTTGCGGGCCAGAGACGCGGCGAGTGGGTTACAGGGCGCCTCTGACCACTGCACCACACGCGTCCTTGAATCAAATAATGAAAAAAATTGATGTTGAACTGGTGTTAAGATCTTTGTTTATGAACAGTATGCCACTGAAATTTGACTCTTTAAGAAGGTTGTGTACGTATTATGTACATGGGATATGGTACCGAATTGCTGTTTTCCTTTTTTTTGTCTGCCTAAATTCCGTTTCAGATCAACGCAGCCCTAATTTGTCTGAAAATGAACTGTTCCATGGATTAGCTATAAACTTCAAAGCAGATTTTCTATGCTTAAATAGTATCAAAGTAAAGTCTTTATAGAACCAAATATTATTTCGAAGTGCTTCTCTTGACGACTTAATGCTCTTTTCCAGTAGAATTTATGACAAACGTTTTGTTGCCATTTTCGAGCTATTTGCTGTGCGTAGTATTAAAATGAACGAATCCAGATGTTTCTGCTTGTTTGCATACTGGTAGTTGGGATTGTACGAGCGATTCCCATTGACAACGGTGTAGAAGGAGAACCCGAGATTGAGTGTGGGCCGAGCACGATCACCATTAACTTCAACACCAGAAATCCCTTCGAGGGTCACGTCTACGTGAAAGGACTCTACGACCAACCTGGCTGCCGGAGCGATGAGGGTGGCAGACAGGTGGCCGGCATAGAACTGCCATTCGACACCTGCAACACGGCCAGAACGAGGTTCGCGCAGAATGTTAACGAATTATTTATGTTGATTTTACACTGGATATTGAACCCTGGTACAGTTCGTAGAACGCTTTGAATGAGAGATTTACTGGAAAGAAGTCACTTCAAAACAAAATTTAACATGCAGGTGTTTGTGCACATATTAGGAAGCCTAAGAATAGCAGCATGAATCACAACCTGTAGTTAGCATGATGACATTTAAATAGCAACTGATTGCCTGCTCCTATAAACCTGTGGACCAAAACGAGTCAGGAATAAAGTAGTGGTTCATGAATTTGTCTTGTGCAATGGTAAAGAATGGACTTGATAATAAGCAAAAAGACTTATGAGATGGCAACATTTTCTAGACATTCCATGTTCGATAGCGGATTTGCTAACTTGCATTATTTCTTCGATTTTCGAAACAAATGATTTTCACATTTAGATCGCTTAACCCTCGCGGAGTTTTCATCTCGACAACCGTAGTCATCTCCTTCCATCCACAGTTTGTGACTAAAGTTGATCGAGCTTACCGAATCCAATGCTTCTACATGGAAGCCGATAAAACCGTCAGCACACAAATCGAAGTTTCTGACCTCACCACTGCCTTCCAAACGCAAGTGGTACCTATGCCTATCTGCAAGTACGAAATTCTAGATGGAGGACCGACTGGCGCTCCTATTCAATTCGCCACTATCGGACAGCAAGTTGGAAGCTCTTATTATCTTAATAATATCTTTTAGAAAAAAATATCAATCGAAGTTTCTTTTGACATCCAGTAAAGTACGAGCATTTCCTCTTATCTCTGCATCACCCACTAAACGCAATGAATTTGTGGAGCATTTCTAACCGAACAGTATAGATTGGCTCAACTATCTTTTTCTCTAGAATTGACTCCAGTAGTGAATCTACTTACATTTTCATTACACTAACAACAGCGAATGGTCACTTTTAGAATGAAGTACATCACGGGTTATTAACCTTAGAGACGTGGTACGTACTTATCACTGGCTGTCCTTCAGGTTTACCACAAATGGACCTGTGATTCTGAAACTACTGATACGTTCTGCGCTATTGTGCACTCATGTACGGTGGACGATGGGAACGGGGATACGGTACAGATTCTCAATGACGAGGGGTGTGCTCTCGATAAATTCCTTCTCAACAATCTAGAATATCCGACGGATTTGATGGCTGGGCAGGAGGCCCACGTCTACAAATATGCTGATAGGTTTGTATTTATAGAAAGACAGCGATCCCTAATCCTATGCCTGCCTTTTCTTCTAAGGAAAAAGCCTTGAGCTTAACACGAGTTATAAGGAGGGGTAAAGGATAAAGTGCTCAGCATTGTTCAAAGCTCGATGTATCAAGTCAGTGAATTTATCCCAGCAGATAATTTCGATGGCAATTTGCCGACCTTGCAACAATGAAGCGCTTGGTTTGTTCGGTGCACGGGATTGAATCACCATGTGCGTTTGTGAGGAACTCCTAACCATGCTATACGGGCCCCGGGAGCCATGCTATACACGAATAATGCCACACTTTAGGTAAAAGGATAAAAATCTATTAATTTGGTATAGATGAAAACGCTTTTAGTTGTTTTGAAATATTTCAATAATGTTTAGATCACAACTCTTCTATCAATGTCAAATCAGCATCACAATCAAAGAACCAAACACAGAATGTGCACGACCACAGTGTCCTGAACCACAAGGATTCGGTGCCACGAAGGTAATTTTGAGACATTGAGAGTATGAGTTGAATCGTAGATAGTCAGATCCTTCTGAGAAAGTTACTGGCTTCTCCATCACCACCTTCATTATTGTTTTTTATTCGGAAACAGAATGCTGCACGATGAAGCCCGCCTTTGCTGTTCCGGAAAACATGCAAATGAATTTAAGTGGCGAATGCTCTGACGAGTCACCAATGAGATTAATTAAAACTGTTCTTTTCCTTTGTGGGTCTCAAATCACCATGTGATCGTAGTAAGAAGTCATAACGTTCCTGAGTGCTTACCTGATGTTTTAAAATTCTACCATGCTTTCCTTGCGCTAAGACAAATGTTCGCAAGAAAACAAGCTTTATAATAAGCCCTTTATGTGTTTCACTTCGTAACGTAGCAGAACTAGTATTCAGACGGGAACGGCGGTTGCTCCGCAGACAACAGCGGCTCCAGCCCAGCTGCGCTTACTCAGAAAGAGAGACTCAGGTTTCGAAAATATCCTTGATGTTCGCACAGAGCTTAGCGCTTTGGATATTCACGAAAAGGTATGCTACCTAATTTGGATAACAGACTAGTAAACATTTAACCACTCAGGACATTCTTACCTCTTCCTCTGTCTCTCTCACTCCCTCGCTCGTTTTCTCTCGCACTCTCTCGCCTCCTGTCTCGTCTTCATTCCAACCTCTCCTGCTCTTCTTTCTGGTAGATTCTTCTTCTAAAGCTGATCTCTTTCTCCAAAACTCATTCTTCTGCACGGAATGTCAGTTTGTCATTGAATATATTTCATCACAACCACTATTGTAGGAGCAAGGGCTGCCGGACGAGTTGCGTATGATGTCTGTGGCGGCGGCTATGCCTAATGGAGTTTGCCTCTCACCGTTTGGCTTCACGCTTTTCGTGGCGGGTTCTGCTTCGTTAGTAGCCGCCTCAGCAGTATTAGTATCTTACTCTTTTCGTGGCAAGACCAATTTTAAGGTCTGATCTAGTCAATTTCTCAGATGTGAAACTCTATAATGGCGTAAGAATCTCTTTATGAATGTTTCCCTATAAATAAGTATTCTAAATGTGGATATGGAACATTTGTTTCCAGTGCAGAAATTTACATAATAAATACTGAAAAAAGTCTTGGAGTAGGAGTACAATACGAACGAATTCAGCTGAAGCTGTAGCGAGAAAGCACAGCAGCAATCAATCCATGGAGCTTCCGTCACCTGGAGAAGTCACCCACTAATAGAAATTCCACTCAACATCATGCTAAAGCATTCAATAGACAAGCTGGTATATAATCAACAAAGATGATACATCTCGTCAATACGACTGGTGAACTGGATCTGGGTACTCCATATGATAAAGGATAAAATGATAGAGCTCTCGGCGTTAATCAATCATTCCCTGAGGGATGCGCCATGCATTCCACTTCATTAAGCATCGTTTGCAGGTGATTGAATGCATATCTGGCCTTTACTCGCGGTAGCCTACCGATGTATCGAGCCGGTGCTGCTACCCTCCCAAAGAAGTCTGGTACCAATTTGCCAACCCTGGATGGATGGAAGGGTTGGTGAGCCATGAGCACGGGATCTATCCCATGTGTGTGTTGCAGGACGCCTCCGACCACTGCGCCACACGCGCCCTTCTCCATATGATAGTGGAACAGTATCCATTAGGGTCAGCAAGTTGAGTGGGCTTGATTATATTATTGGGAATACAGTAGTAATGGGAAAATTACGCCTATTCATCCCTATTAAATAACTATGTGATGACTTCGGTTGGATACCTTGAGAGTTTGTCATTTCCAGGACCTGTTTTTTTGCCGTGAGAAGGAACACTGGAACATACTGTAATGCTTTGAGAACACGAACCCACTCAGTAGCTTTGGGGAACCAGAGAAAGAAATGAAAGTATTGCTTCCGCCTACCTAGGCTGTTAAGTGTTTAACGCGATTGTTATATAATTGTAACAATAAAAGACAACCAAACTCTGCTATCGCAAATGCTATTTCAAGAGCTCAATTTTTTAAGCTTTGGGGAGCACTTCTTATAGCCTCGAAAAGGCACCGAATTAGTGCCGTTGACAACGGAAACGTTTTTTGCTAGCTTAATTCCTATTCCAGCGAAGTAACGCTGAGTTTAAAGGGAGACGGGAACAAATATGTGAATTATGGAGGAAAAGTTTCAACTTATTTCCCAACTTTCATCGAATTTTACCAAACATTCTGGTGCACTACGAGCTAAAATTTAGCGCATCCTTGGTAGGTAGCCTTAATTCAGGGCCGTCATCCTTGGACGTCGTCTTGCCCTGTTCATTGCTCCTCTTAAACTGTACGTCTCAAAATCGGATTGGTAATGAATTCTATCAAGCCAGTGATATAGTTGTTTCGATTTCGCAAGCTGCAGAGTGAAAAACTTCTAATGACTACAGTACTGATTGAGCTTACATGCTGATGTTATAAAAACTTCTATTTGATCTAGTTTTGGCACCTTCGCCTTCCTCTGGCCCGCGTTGATCCGAATTGATGGTCCACGCTTGGTCGCTTTCGCGATGTGGGTGTTCGTTCTCGCATCGAGTCGAATCCAGTGTAGGAAGCACCCCTCGAATGAAGAATCAGCAGTGCTCTTTCATGTAGGCCTGGTGTTGATCGATTCCCGTCATCCAATATGATCTGCCTTTTGGCGAACAATGCGTTCTGTAGCAGTCGATACTTCATTTGTTAGCACTTAGCGTGGCAATTTCTTAAGAATTAACTTCCATTGAAACTACTGGAGTGTTCCTCTCGTGTCAATATCCAATCCAAGCCTAAGATAGTACGACCACTTGATATCGGGCAGAAGGAAATGATTACGGTAACAGAGTTTCTTCGTTGGCTATGGTAGGGTTAAATGTTTTCTTGATTAGTGAAAACACAGCAAAATCCTTATTCCTTTGACAGAACAGTGTGTTACAATACCTTTGTCTAAATTCACAAGAAAAATCGGTTTTTTGGTGAGAAAATGGACCCTTGCAGCAATCAAGAGAAAAATTCTAAGCTGCTACTGTCTCACATACTGAAAAGTACTGGCTCCTTTATTTTTACATTCACTTTTTAATAGTTCCCAGGATCGACTTTCTATTAACCTCGGCATTGGAATATGAATGTGTCGTTTTCTTGTTCAGCAATCGCGAGCTTTCTAAACAGTATACATTTACTTCCATAGAGCAACACAATGCAATACAACGCTAGCTGACACTTCGGCGGTATCGCCTTCTTCAGAGCCTGGAAGGGTACGCTGATATACACTCTACTAGGCCAAACGCTTCAATAACACTTACAAAAAGACGAAAGACTCTCTGGTAATTACATGATCAACAACTCGAAAAACCCACCGCTTTTTCGTGACTTCCAACGAGGAAGTTTAGAACAGCTTATTATAGTCGCATGTGGTTGACGACTGCACCATCCCACATCAAAAATCGATGCGAACATACGGGATCAGGTCGCGTATGACCTCCGGACATTCATCCCTGCTATTCATTGTAGGGCTTTTGGCATTTATCCAAAAAGCCTCAAAAAGTTTTCGCGCTAGTGTTTTGAACTCCTGTGCAAGGATATTGACTTTTACTCACTTTTTATTTAATGCCTATTCTTCCTTCATGGTAGGATGTGATGTCAAATATAACCACAATGATAGTGAGATGTTTGCAAAACTCCGAACCGCAGGTAGCTGCGGTATGGTCGAACCCACTATTGCCCTTTCCAGTAGCTGGCATGTTCTCCACTATACCATATGGGTCCTTCGTTTCGCTTTTCTCTCAGCCGTGTTATTAACTTATAGATGCAATCAGCATCATCATACAAGCTTTCAAATGTATACATTAAGAACGAAATTATACTATTCGATTAATTAAATTATACGATCCGAATTCACCAAGCATCGTAAAAGTGACTGGATGTACATTCGGCTTGCGCACGGATTTGAGATGGCCTACCAATGGTTCAAACCATCCTTCCAGACAAGTGTGCCAGCAATTTGCTAACGACCCCGGATGGATGGAAGGTTTGATAGGTCCAAGGCGAGGTATTGAACAACGGGCGATCCAGTGTTTTGCAGGACATCTCTAGCCTTTCACTCAGCCTTGTTTTAACCTATAGGTGCTATAAGCAATGATCCGTCAATGTAATTGATCTAGGAAGCACAGATCGGAATTTTACGCAATTAAAATGAAGCTCTGGCATAAATTCATACTATTATTACATTGCAGGCTTTGTCTGATACTGTTGGAGGTGGACAGGCATGTAGTCATTATTCTGCGCAGTGCTAAACAAAGCTTCCATACCCAAACTGATAGCAAACTTGGCGATAATAACACGTACTTGATACCTCGGTATGCTCCCTCAAGTTTTTGTACAGACCAAATACACATTTATTAATTTCTAAAAAGCTCAATGGGAACTCATTCAAAGCGCATCTTTCAGGGGTTGATCGATGTCGATCGCTTTATTCTTCATCCTTATTCGCTCACGTAACACTTTGCGTTCGTGTCAGTGTTGAGAGTATTCAGTGTAATGCGTTGGGACACTATTCCCACACACACCAATTGGGCGTTCGACTACTGTGATGGGAGTTTAATGAAACCACTTTTCCTGTGATGTCGGTTGAATGATAGCAGGCTCGAGCGCGATTAGTAAACAATGTAGATTGTTCGACCGCTTGTCAATACACAGCTATGCCCATACATTCACATCCCAGCAAATTTGTGACAGGAAACAGGAATGTGCCGATGCAGCACAACGAGAGAGATAAACTGCGAGAACTTCGTCGCTTATCACTTATAGTGATATCTCGTCCTTTCCAAAACATTATCCAGGAGCAACGATTAAGCAAATGATATGGAATTGCATGGAAAAGGGTGGTCGTTCTTGGGGAATACTCTGTTGACCCTGTCCAGCATAATGCGAAGTATTTATGAATTCTCTTTATTTGTAAGGTTACTTTGTCTATTACGGTTGCGCTACGCGTTTCGAGAGAATGCGTAAACACATGTGAGCTATATGCGATTCATCCACATACTCGTGCTGAAGTTCTGTTAAAATTGTTTCAAGACGAGAAAAAAATTTATTTTGAAGTCTTTTTTCCGCCATTAAAAATATCTGACTCTTTTCAAACATATGAAAACTAGGTTCTTTGAATGGGTGAATTTCGAATAGATTTGAAGCTGAAATAATGCTTTGAAAAATTTTTTAAACCCATACGGCAATTAAGCGAAGTCTTTTTATAAGGTAATTATTTAAGAAATGTGTTTAAAAACATACCATTGCAATTCTGCTACGTTGTGAGACCTATAGGAGTCATACGATTCGAAAATAACGCCCGTTTTCAACTGTAAATAAACATATCTCAGCACACAGTTTATTTTATTAATCGCAACACGGAATTATGAGAATCTACGGGATGAAAGTTCGATCCTCTGGACTCCGTCACACATATCTCTGCCATTTCATCGCCTCAACACTCCTATTTCAAACACGAGCACAAAGAGCGAGCGAGATTCCGTTCATTCGGACAAAATGAGGCTCCCAGTGCTCTCGGAGCACTCTGTTGATTGAGAATAGAAAGGTATCAAACAGCTGGATACAAAGGAAGTTGCAAATTATCTAGTATTGCGATATTCTTTTTCCTCTCTTCCTCCCAACGGTTTGCCGCCTCATATTGGCTGGGAGGTCTTCCTGGGTGTCAGACTGCGATGTACAGCGGGGAGATACATCTCGCTGACAAGGACTCCCAAGATTAGAAGTCCAGCGTTTTCATTAGTACGCCTAACTAAGAGTAAACCAATACCAGGATCCATCACTGTAGCGGTACCAAACAAGCCGCACAGTGGCAAATCACCGTCCGATCCACAAGGACGGCGACTGCCTGTGGTCGTGACGACCTGGGGCCGACTTTGGTCAGGCTGAGCTTGGGTTTTCAGGGAACCACCAGCGGCTTAACCAGCAAACCTCCTAAAAATGGTGATTATGCTGGGGTCCGCACGACAAGTGAGGACGTGTCTTTCAGGTACCAATTAGGTAATTAATATTCTCTGTTAATATTGCTCCTAGTAGATCTGCGGAAGAACACTGTCAACATTAACTACGCACTTTTGCTAGAAATTTCCATAACTGGTGCTTCTGATAGGAACCACAAAACTTTTTTGTTGCCAGGATAAACTGATCTGCAGCAGAGCTGAGTATGACACATTGAATGAACGTGATAGAAGCAGAATTTAAACAAACGTCAGATGACACTGCGCAATGTACTCTTGCAGAGACATGAATTGACCTCCCAAGAAGACGATGTACCCCATTTTTTGAAGAAGAAACACGTAATATAGGCGATGCTTAACATTTTGCTGACAGATTTTTCAATGGTGGTGATTGAAGAAGAAACCGATCTGTGAATTGCTGTAGAATGCGCAGGACTTGCGTCAAACGTTACGAAAATGACGTTTACCAGTCGCTTGAACTGGATTTGCGGCGGAGGAGAGAGAACGAGCTGGTTCGGCTCTTTCTCGCTCTTACGTCTTTGGTCATCACACCCGCTGCCTGACCCACTCTTGTCCGGCTAGTCAGCTTAGATGATTTATTGCATTTTCTCAGTATAAAGCCATCCAAGAGTGGGGATTACGTTCACAACCATATTCGTCTACTCTTTGATAATGAGCATCTGAAGCTTCGCAGTTGCATCAGACACATGCAATGCTTTCCCTTCTCTTGAGCTGAAGATCCGTAAATGAAGTTTATTTGGAAAAACTGCAGGCTTCTAAATTTTCCATTTCTAATCTTGTGAAATCATTAAATAACCAGTAAACTCAATTTTATCATGTGCTACTTTATTTATTGCCACAGTCATTTCAGATGTTGCTCATCTGCCTCGTCTTGATTGTCGCTACCGTTTACGGTATCCCGGTAGATAACGGCGTCGAGGGCGAACCTGAGGTCGAATGCGGTCCTACCGCGATCACAATCAATTTCAACACTAGAAATACGTTCGAAGGTCACGTCTATGTGAAAGGCCTCTATGATCAGCAGGAATGCCGAAGCGATGAGGGTGGTCGACAAGTAGCGGGAATCGAACTTCCGTTTGACTCTTGCAACACAGCCAGAACGAGGTGAGATTTGTGCGTAAAAGGAATATAAAGGATTAGGATTCATTTGTTCAAGATCTCTAAATCCACGTGGTGTGTTCGTCTCAACTACTGTGGTCATCTCTTTCCATCCGCAATTTGTTACCAAAGTCGATCGCGCCTACCGGATTCAGTGCTTCTACATGGAGTCTGACAAAACCGTCAGCACTCAGCTTGAAGTCTCTGACCTTACCACCGCCTTCCAGACACAGGTAGTTCCCATGCCTATCTGCAAATACGAGATCCTAGATGGTGGCCCGTCCGGACAACCAATACAGTTTGCTACCATTGGTCAGCAGGTTGGTTTTCAGTCCTTATTGTAAAAAGAACTTCTAACTTCTACTACGATTTAGGTATACCACAAGTGGACTTGTGACTCCGAAACTACGGACACTTTCTGTGCAGTGGTACATACTTGCACCGTTGACGATGGGAACGGCGACACCGTACAGATTCTTAATGAAGATGGATGCGCTCTTGACAAGTTTCTTCTCAACAATCTCGAGTACCCGAGCGATTTGATGGCAGGCCAAGAAGCTCACGTTTACAAATATGCTGATAGGTTTGTGAGACAAAATAAAGTGCGTATTTCGCATTAAGTCGCTAGCAAAAATTCTACTGCTTGCAGACTTGCGGTCAGTGGAATGATATCAATGTAGAACTGAAAACTCATATTCACTCTCTCATATCAGCTTTCTCATAAATTCGACATTGGCTATAGCTTCCAAATAAACTACAGTTGTTTCTCGTCACACACCTTTGTCTTTTGTCCAAGAATTTGATCCGGTCCTATTGCTAAATTCATTGGTCGTTTCGACAGTATTTTGATTAGAGGAGTATTTGAGTATTTGGCCAAGTTGAATGTGAACTTTATAGGTCACAGCTCTTCTATCAATGCCAGATCAGCATCTCAATCAAGGTATCGGCATCGGATAAATCTCGGTAAAAGTGTTACGCATCAATCGATCATTTACTTCTAGGACCCCGGCAGCGAATGCCCACGTCCACAGTGCTCAGAGCCAACAGGTTTTGGAGCCGTTAGACAAGGTACACCCAGAGCAGGTCAAACTGCTCCTGGTGCTCCAGCAGCAGCAGCACCTGGTGCTGTAGCAGCAGGTGCTGCTCAATTGAGACTTCTGCGCAAGAGAGAGGCAAGGGATGAAGCTATACTGGACGTGCGAGCTGAGATTAGTGCTATCGAAATCACGGACCAGGTGAATTTATCACGCATATGAAATATTGATTTTAACCATGGAGCTTTTTGTACGTCTAGTCTTAAATGTTCTACTGCAAAAAATTCCATCGTTAAAACCTACATTTTAGGACTCAATGCCGCCTTCACTCAGAGCCTTATCGCCCTCAGCACCAGTCAGTGAGCGCTTCGACTCTTCGGTGTGCCTATCGCCACTCGGCTTCGCGACGTTCATCGGTTTGGGGACCCTACTGGCCACTTCACTTTCAGCATTTGTGTTCTATGCTGCACGGCCCCACCATAAGTACTAGACTGGTAGCTAAACCGTAGCCGAACGAGGGCTTTCCATGTCGTAATCGTGTCGTATGAATTACCTCAATCTTCGAACTTCCATCAGCAAAACCTCGCTCGGTTGCTCCACCAAATATAGAAGAATGGAACGTTCACTCATATCGCCTGGGTGTTGTGCAATAAATCGGTTCGTAGCTAATGAAGATTTCTATCTCAACAAAATACAGCATTTCTGATAGAAGTGTATCCTTAAACATCTACCATCGATACAAGTCGTAGACTACCGAGTTTCTTTCCTAATCACCAGTCCCATGCAATGGTGTCAAACTAAAATGGATAACATGCTTCTAAAGTACTTTTGGTGTCTCTTTGTTTGTGAAGTGGCAGCAGAATCTCTAATGATGGTTCTCAGGGGTTACATGGTCGAAAAAGTGAGCTAAATTCGAATACACGCCGCTAGATTTCACCAATACAACGGACGGAAGTGAAATACGTTACTATTGCTCAAGTCAGTCTAAGCGTTAAACGGTCGGAGAACACGGAGCAATGACGCTCTTTTTCCATTCGTGCGAAAGCCTTGATAGATTTTTACCTTTATTAGATGAAGCAAGCTCACTGTAGTCGACGATTTGGTCGCAAACGCATCTGTTAAGGATAAAACGTTCACGGAACTGATTGATTAACCCGGCATCTCATTGTGCAAAACACCTAGAAAGAAACAGAGACACGCCAGAAACACCTACAGCATTACGAAGCGTAAGAGTGGGGTGTGCACCTCTGGAAGAATAGTATACGTCAAAAGCTGAGCGATTTCGCCCTATATTTTCTCCTATGAGTTTTCCAATGCAGTGTGATTCTACTAAAAAGAAAGTGTGTAAAATAGAGAAAAGCTGCTTATATTTCGAAGTAATCTCGCTCTACTGAGCATGTCGGAGAAAAAATCGAAGAGTGCCAAAGTTTCCATTGGCATAATAGTCTTACATAAGTAACACGTCAAAAAGAAATTCATGTGGGAAAATAAAGATGATCGTTCTCAGGATCGACTTTCAATTAGCCTCGCCATTGGAATACGAATGCGTCGTTTTCTTGTTCAGCTTTCGCGAGGTTGTTATACAGCGTACATTTGCTTCCATAGATAAACACACAGTACAATGCAAAAGTAACTGACGTTTCGGCAGTATCGCCTTCTTCAGAGCCTGGAAGGGTATACTGATATACAATCCATTAGGCCAAACGCTTCAATAACACTTACAAAAAGACGAAGAACTTTATGGCAATTGCATGATCAACAGCTTCTCGAAAAACCCACCGCTTCTTGCGTGACTTCCAATGAGGAAGTTTAGAACAGCTGATTATAGTCGCATGTGGTTGACGACTGCACCATCCCACATCAAAAATCGATGCGAACATACGGGTTCAGGTTGCGTATGACCTCCGGGCATTCATCCCTGCTATTCATTGTAGGGTTTTTGGCATTTATCCAAAAAGCGTCAAAAAGTTTTCGCGCTGGTGTTTTAGACTCTTGTGCAAAGATATGGACTTTTACTTTAAACCGTCTCAGCTATGCTTTTGTATCCCATGCGTTCCCAGTGGGATACTTTGTCTTGCTTTTCGTTTCCCATCTAAATGTTCTTTTATACGGATACACAAAGATCTGCCCGTTAAAGGCCCGGATGAAGATGATATTACGAGGTCCCGCATGGGGTGGTGGTGATCGTGTTGGCCACCGGAAAGGGTAATAGCGCGTTCGTTCCCCATCGCAGACACATGAGGCCTGCAGTTTTGTAAATATCTCTGCATCATTGTGGTTATATCACAGCTCGAGAGATAAGGAAGACGGATCATATCGCTCTATAGTGGCCCTTTGCAGCACATAGGACAAAGTGGCTCCTTGTCCACATTACTTGCAAGTTTCAACAAAACTTATTTTGAAATGGCTGAATTGCCATTGCATATAGCTATCGCTTCGCTTCCCTCAGCGTTTACTGGCTGTGCATTTTCAAGGTTCAACACTTTTTTGGTTTGGATACGGGTTGACTGTCGTTAATTACGATGCCAAGTGCCGGTCAAGAGCCTGCCAAAGTCAAGGTTCCCGTTTTCTCTTCTTGCCCAAAATCGTCCATAATTACCACCTACCAGCTGTTATTGGGATGTGTTGTGAAGTACCCTTGTCTTTGTGCCAGGCGAAACTGCATGAGAGTTGATATGACTTCACAGAAATTCCCAAGACCGATTTTTTATTAACCTTGGCATTCCTCAAAAAATTCAGTGCTTTCTCGATGAGCAAAGACGAGATTGCTACTTTATTCTTTATTAAGAAAAGTGCTCACGCTTCGACAGGTTTCACCTTCTTCAAGGACTGGACAAATTCAATCCAATCAGGCAACTGCCTCTATAACGAAAACGGAAAAATCACGAAACCAAGATTTCAATCGCATCGAAAACTAAATAGTTTCTTTGCACAGTCACCAATTTCCATAGGTTTACCACTGAAAATTTCACATGGAGACGAACCTCACAGAGTTTACATGGTTGGCAAATGTGTCTCTCTCATACTAATACATCAGTCATATGTATGTATTGTGTGAGATCATGTCTGTTAACGAGACATTCCACACTGCGGTTTTGAAGACGGGCCTTGTTACCATATGCAAACGCTGGTCAAGGAAACGTTCAATCTGGGGTTAGCATTTGTTCACGTGTATATATATATATGTATATGTATATGTATATACATGTATATATATACATATATATGTATATATACATACATATGTATATATATACATATATATGTATATATGTATATACACGACATAGATTGTCGTGCATTGCACCGCGTTTTCGTCGGCACAGAGTGAACTTCAATGCTGCATATAAACGATAAGGTTTTCCTTGCATACGATGAGACAGAAGGAGTCATGAAATCCAAAAGTTGTGCACAGAATCGGAAATTTTTTCTTTTCCTAATTACATCCTTTTTCGCTGACTAGGAAGCTAAGTCGTTCATCATATTGACTTCTCGACCTAGATAGACGTAGCTGGAGCACTCGGAGCTACACATTCCGTCGAGTGTGAATAGCGAATGCGAAAACAATCGGTTCTTCATGAACATCGCTTTCTTAAAATCATTGAGAGACCAATTTTTTTGAGACCAATGTGTGTGTATGTGCGTGTGTACGTGTAATTCTGTATGTATGGGTGCATGTATGCGTGTGCGTCTGCATGTGTATAGGTGTATGCGAATATTGTATGCGCATGCGCATGCGCATTTCCATGTGCATATGTGTATGTGTTTGTGCAGCATATGTGTTTGCGTATGTGTATGTGTATGTGTATGTGTATGTGTATGTGTATGTATGTAGGTATGTATGTATGTATGTATGCATGTATGTACTGTATGTATGTATGTATGTATTTATGCATGTATGCGTGTATGTATGTATATCTGTATGTATGCGTTTATGCGTATGTGAGTTTGTGCGTCTTGGTGTCGGAGTCGGGGAAGGCGAATGCTTTTTTTTGAGGTTCGCGACCAGATTGAACTTTGGACAAAGCACGCATTCACGTCATAAATATTGGCACTGAAGCGATGAACGCCGGCTGGTTGTCGGTGATGCGCACATTCAGATAAGCGCAAATGGTGTGATATTAATGGATATATGAAGAAACGTTTAGATTGAGGTTTCGATGAACAGTTGCGCCCTGTAGAAGCTAGCGATTGAAAACTATCTTGTGGTCTACTGGAGATCTCGTGCTTAACGCCATAAGTTGGATCGAGACTTTTATGGTGACAAGATGGTCATCGAGAATGGTGGGACGAATGACAGTGACAGAACTTTTTTTGTCATAGAAGAATTTGGAGCTTGTAATAGACACAATTGGCTTTATTAATCTGGATGTAGCAAATACTAAAGTTTTACATGGCGTAGTATGCTGGTGAAGGATAAACGACATGTTCGGATTTGCTACTGCACTTTGCGCAATCTTATTCATTCATATATCCACGGAGTTTTGATGATTACGCAAACTCTAACGAATACAGTTTGGGTCTAATGTCTTTAGACCAGTACAATACGTACGTAAGTGGATGGATCCAACTTATAGGAAGTCTACCCGAAAGTACATTTTAACCAAAACAGGAAAAAGACATAGTTTTTTTTTTACGAAAGATGAGTTATGCTTGTCATGTTAACTAGGTATCTTCAGTGAGAGAAAAAAAAAGAAACTTCACTTTTGATGGCTCGAGTCACGCAGTAATTAGCTAGATTGTGTGATATGCGGACGCATCTGTCACAGTGGTCGGAGGCGTCTTGCAATACACGTGGGATCGACCTCCGCTCCCTTGGTTCAGTAAGCCTTCTATCTCTCCAGGGTAGGCAAATTGGTGCCAGACTTGTCTGGGAGGATAGCAACACTGGCCCGATATATTGGTAGGCCACCGCGAGTTATTGTAAAAGCCAAATATTCATTCAACAACCTCCAAGCAATGCTTAATGAAGCCAAATGCATGGCGCATCCCTCAGGGATTTATCAACGCCAAAAGCTTTATCCTTTTCAATTGACGCACGATATATTTTCCTTTCAAAAAAGAAGTTCAATCTACGAAGTTTAACGATAAATGCCTTCGTTAAAACGTTGCGTGAATGACTACGGAAAGTCTGGAGCATCAGCATAAAGGACGAGCCATCCTGGAAATACGGGCACCATCTCTTGAATCCACCTGTACCCCAGAGCACTTAATTGGCCGTTTACTATCGGCATTGCAAGTAGTTTCCAACTGTAGAGGATGTCTTCTGGTGTATGTGTTTCTTGTAGTTTTCTGCTTGTCCTGGTCCCTGTTGCAGCGTAGATATCAATTGTTGATTATACAGCCTCCTATTCTTTGAACGGAACTTGTGCAACCATTACAGTAGACAGAAGATTTACATGCCGCCGAATTAAACATCATGAAATATATCCAAACAGTCCTGCTAAAATCACAAGAAGAACTTCAGACTAGATTTTCTTTGAATTAGAA